AAAATAGAATCAAATAGTTGGTTTAGTGTTTCAAAGCCAAACGAAAAGCAATACCAAAAGCAATACCAAGTGGGCTCCGTCCCCTTTTATCACACAAACGATCTTTAGAGGAAGGAAGGACAAGAGAATCAGAGATATTTAAAATCAAAGCATCAAATCAAAGCATCAAATAAGATTTCACAGAAAAGAGCTACTTTTCTGCACAAAGTCTTGATTCTTTATCAAAGGAGGACTAAATGTAAATGAACCGAACAAAAGCCTAAGGATTGCGATAACTTTCAAATCATTTACCCTTTAGAAAGTGCATTAAAACAATTATACAGTACAATCATAAGCTTTAAATCTAGATAACGTCTTTTTTTGATTAACTCTTTAAATATATTGCAATGATTACCATCTATCAAATCGAATCCCTTCACTCTATTCAAAAGGTTGTTCAAATAAAACCCCCTTTCCCCGTTTATCCCCGATTTACACAAACCAAGAAAATGCTTTATTTAGCGCTATTTAGATTTATTTAGCGCTATTTAGCTTTATTTATTTAGCTTATTTGCTGCACTAAATCTGGCATGAAAAAAATTTCTCAAATTTCTCTCAAATTCTAGGCGGACTCCATCAACACTCGACCGCTACCGGACCCGGATACAGCAGTGTCTCACATACGTATTCGTATGGAAATGGAGCCCCGGATACGGTAGATTTTTGCGAGAGATAGAAAATTGACGCAAAATAACGAAAAATTCTTCATAGAACGGTTTTAGAATTAAACCTCTTCGGTTTAATTACCCAAGTTTGAGGTTAGCATTAACCCCGAGACCTCTCAACAGTGTCTCGAGAAAATTTTGGAATGCGTCCCCGATCGGGGATGCGCAAATAAATCAATCTTCGGCCTTCAGCTTTCAGTTTTTTCCTTTATATTTTTTATATTTTTTATAAGAGCGCAAGGGGGGAAATGAAGAAAATCTTGTCATTCAATGCATTAGATTCATTCGAACATTAGAACGCATTAGAACATACTGTTACAGGCAGTAGGACTTTGCTTAACGTTGACTTTGAAACTTGACTTTCCCCGGCTTGATATTTTTGAAGTTAAACTGTGAATAAAACTTGTTGAAAGTTGCGCCATTCTACAGAGTTACCTTTTTCAAAACAATCTCTCATTAATGCCATTCGTGGCCATTTCCCCTAATAGAAATAGGTGAGAAAGAGCGCAAGGGGCGCAAAAAGGGGGCAAATGAAGAAAATCTTGTCATTCAGTGTATTAGATTCTTCAAAATGGACCTAAAAAAGTATTTTCTTTCAAAAGAAAATTATTTTCTTCCAATGGCAGAAAGAAATGTTCTTGTTAAATTTGAAAGCAGATCGGTTAGCTGAAAAAGTTTTAAATCTCTTTGGCTAGACGATATGGCTTGAAAAGCTGAGAAAATGCTGAGAAAGCTGGCTAGCTGAGAAAATTCAAACTTTTCCGCTGAAAAATCCTTTCGACTACGACATTTAGATTATAATAAATATCGTATATATGTTTAAGATCAAAATAAGATCAAAAAACCATTCAATATTTCAGCGTTCAATGATGGAGATGGCCGGCACTCAAGGAATACTCGCCTCAATGCAACAAGAAATGGACGATTTGATGCTCTGAATCAAAATTCCAGAAATAAACGCATGTAAATATCTATTTATTCCCTGGACAAATTGAATAAAATCATTCAATGAGCAGTTAGTTTCCGAATTTCAAATTGGCGTCAAAATTCTCTTCAACAAATTCGGGTCACCGTCCGCTCCCAAATCGACCTCGTCTTTTTGCTTTTTCTAAAAATTTGTTTAGTAATAATTTTGAGCGTTTTGAAATCATTTCAATACCTCAAAATATATCCTCAACGTCCAGAAGATTGTGAATTTCCAAAATAATAGAAGCAACACAATGACCATGTTGATCTTGATGATACTGGCCAAAGCCCATCGAGCAGCCAAATTGTCAATCGGGCCTGAAAGGATTTTAGAGTTGAAGATTAGAGCTTTTAGCTTTTGTTTTGCCTTAAACCTTTCAATCTACACGTATTTGTTGGGGTAAAAGTGAAAGAAATAGTCAGAGTCAGAGATCTCTTGCTGGTAGAGACGCAGACGACACGCTGTGTGTACCCTTCGTGTCTCTCGTAAGAAAAAGCGGCATCTGGCACACGGCCTTCACACATAGCGCGACAAAGGGTCCCTTCTTCGGTTTAATTACCCAAGTTTGAGGTTAGCATTAACCCCGAGACCTCTCAACAGTGTCTCGAGAAAATTTTGGAACGCGTTCCCGATCGGGGATGCAGAAATAAACCAATGTTCGGCCTTCAGCTTTTATATTTTTCCTTTACCTTTTTTATATTGTAACTTTACTGATTCACTTTCAGTGGCTCCTAAAAGGCACTAATTTCCTCTCACTCACCGATTCCAAATATTCCCAAAAACGCATTGGCACTGATTCCAACGATAAAACTGATACAAATGAACATTATGTAGAGAGCGATTTGAAAAGCCTAAAAAATAATAATTTCTATAACTTCCAAGAACTTACAATGAAGACAATTTTAGCCAAAATCCAGAAAGCGATCTCTTTTTTAAGGGCAACAACCGTGAGGAGAACGACTGGAACAATTTAAATCCAAATTAACGCTTTTTTTAACCTGGTAGATGAAAGAATATCCATAAAAACCACCAGGGAAATGTGACAATCATGTAGAAAAGAATGAAGATCACCTCGAGGAGAATGAACACTTTGGCTACATTCTGAAATTACTAACAACAAACCATTACTTGAAAAATCAACAAATACGTCTTTTCTTTATCTAATCCCGATTCCCGTATGCTAGAAAGTATGCTAATAAGTCAAAAATGGACAAAAAGAGAACGCACAAAAGATTCGAAAGAAAAGAAAAGACATTTACTTGCCTCGTTCTCTTTTTGCTCTTTTTGTTTCTTTACTTCTTAAGCTTTCAAAATTCTAAATTCACAAGAGTTTTGGTTCAAATTCTTACAAAAATTTCATTTCTAGACCCTGCAAAAAGAAGAATCTAGAAACGCTATGGGGATTCATTTATATGATGTGATATGAACGATATTGGAATTCATTCATATGCTGTGATATGAACGATATGGGGATTTATCTATATGCTGTGATAGGAACGCTATGGGGATTCATTTATATGCTGTGATATCAACGTTATGGGGATTCATTCATATGCTGTGATATGGACGATATTGGAATTCATTCATATGCTGTGATTTGTATCGGCTTTTCAAATCGCTCTCTACCTAATGTTTATTTGTATCAGTTCATATGAGAATGAACACTTTGGCTACATTCTGAAATTACTAACAACAAACCATTACTTGGAAATAAACAAATAAGTCTTTTCTTTATCTAATCCCGATTCCCGTATGCTAGAAAGTATGCTAATAAGTCAAAAATGGACAAAAAGAGAACGTACAAAAGATTCGAAAGAAAAGAAAAGACATTTACTTGTTGCCACTCTTTTTGCTCAACTATCCAAAAAGCAAAACAGTTTCGAAATTCTTCTTAACTCACCAGAATATGAAATTTCTGCAAAGCGCATCGATAATTTCTGTTATCTTCTTCGAATTCGACATCAAAAGTGATTAAATTTCGAAAATAGTCAAGTAGAGGAACACCGAGGAATTGTGGGGATTGAGATGTGTCCTCCATTGGAAAGAATATTGGAAAGGTTTAGGTTCAAGAAATCTTTATACTCCTTTCTAAATATTATTGCAAGCTTTCGATAATAATAAACTTTAAGAAAACGACAAGAAAACGATCAAATTGATTGTGAAAGGAAAATCGAAAATCGAATTCAGTCGAATTTTGATCGAGTTTTGAAGGGTCAACTTATGAAATTGATAAAATTAATATATCATTTTAATGATTTATTATTGAATTAAAGATATTATTGATCGAATATTTAATCTTGAATCAAGTAAAATAATAAAACAAGCAACAATAAAAGTTCAGGAATAAACAAAAGAAATTCAAGCCTAGTTGATAGTTGGCTTTGATTGATTTAAATCCTAAAGCTTTTCAATTTCCAGAAAATCAAAAGCCCAAATCAGTTTCATACGCAAAAAGCTTAAGCAATTTATTCAATAAAGTTTAAACATAGAACATTCAAGAAGTTCTCAAGCAATTGAGCAACAGAAGATTGGTTGACAAGCTTTAGAATTCTTTGAATTTCAAGAAAACTCACTCAAAAACCAATCTCAATCAATACAATGAAACTTATGAAATTGATGCCTACTCTTTCATTTTAATGATTTATTATTGAACTAAAGATATTATTGATCGAATATTTAATCTCGAATCAAGTAAAATAATAAAACAAGCAACAATAAAAGTTCAGGAATAAACAAAAGAAATTAAATTCTAGTTGATAGTTGGCTTTGATTGATTTAAATCCTAAGCTTTTCAATTTCCAGAAAATCAAAAGCCCAAATCTATTTCATATGCAAAAAGCTCAAGTTATTCAATAAAGTTTAAACATAGTCAGTAATTCAAGAATTTCTCAAGCAATTGAGCAACAGAAGATTGGTTGATAAGCTTTAGAATTCTTTGAATTTCAAGAAAACTCACTCAAAAACCAATCTCAATCAATATTTACAAGCTTTTCCATAAAAGAAATCAATCAAGAGGATAGGATATCAACGAGAGAAACAACAAAAGAAAAACCTGTTCTTTTCCCCCGATTTTCTCCATTTCAGCGGCTCTTTTCACCTTTTCCCTTCAAAACCTTTTCAATGATTCAATCACTTTTCTCTGTTTCTCCTCAAAATGCATTATATTCAGCTAAAAGGACAAAAAAAAAAACTCTAGCTTATGTCCTCTTTTCAACGTGTAACTTTTTTGTGCAATTAAAAACTTTATTGAAGTACGAAATCCAAGCTCAAAGCTTGATTTAAGTGAATTTTAAGTAAATTTTCCACTTTTTCTTCAACTAAATCGTTCAAAATTGAATATCGGGATTGTTTTTCTTCAAAGCTTCTTGATCGGTGTTTGACAAAGAGGCAAATTTGGTGCGAATTGCTGCCGCTTTGCCCGAATTGACTGGATTTCCGTGGAGAAGTGCTTGTTGAACTTCGCATACATAAGCCATACACTGAATGACTTTCTTAAATTATGACTTTCTTAGATACTAGATTGTTCTCGGAGAACTTTTTATTAAGACTTTTTAACTGAAACTTCCTGTAAATGAATCATTTACCCCCGAGAGTGAGGCTCAAATACAGCAAAGACGATAAACCGTTTCTGATACGCTTTTAAAAGCACTAATAAGAATTTTGACTTTAAATTGACCTAGAAATGATGAGAAAGAGTTAACGAGTACAATAAAAATTCAAATCTTTTGCTGACTTCGATAACAAAAATTTTTTATCTAAAAAATAAGCCTTTATAGGTTTTGAATCCAATTTTTCGATGAAAGCTTTTTAAAACTTTAGTAAAAACAGCCAGAACACGAATTTTGCTCATTTATTAACGCATTTATCACTTTTTTTTTGCGTACCTCTTTAGCGAAACCCTTTGCCTCGTCGGAGAGTCCGGATAAACGAGCCGAGTTCGCGCCTAGCAGGCTTCTAAATAGTTAAATGAATAAGAAATGACTCTTTAAGGTTTAAATTGTATTTAGGTATTCAATTTTATTCACGTTCACATACTGAAATTTTCCATGAAGACTCGCACAGACTCCTTGACAATCCTCCATCAATCCGTCAATGTTGCAGAATGTTTTGTGCTTTCCCAAGAGATCCTTGATTGAAATTAATCTTGTAAAGGAAATAAGAATGGTGTTAAAGTTGAAATTTTACATTTTGTAAGTTCTGCTAAACCAAATAATAGGTTGATGCAAAAGTCTTTTTCATTTTTTTCGTACTTCTGTTAAAAAGTAACAAATTCACCAATTAATCTATAGTTTGCTCTATAAAAAAGTGTTTTTTTTGTTGAATTTGCATCTTTTTAAATGAATTTCGGTTGACTTTCAAGCAAATTCGAGAGTGAAAAACGCCTTTTTCGTAAAAATCTATAAAAAACTCTACGGAAAAATTGGCTGAATGAATTTCTCTGAAATTTTGGCGAAATATCAAACGTTTTTTTTCTCTATCTTTTATCTATTGACACGAAGATAGGTTTTCTTTAGCTAAGGTGTCTAAACCGCTCAGGCTCAGGCTCAGGCTTAGGCTGAGGCTTAGCCTGAGCCTGAGCCTGAGCCTAAACCGCATCATCGAGTTAGCCCTTTTTGACTACCCGACTTCATACTCTCAAGAAAATCCAGGCATTAAATATTTTTAAACCCGTTTTAATGTTATTTTGCAGAAAAATAATTGCTTTTTCTAATGAAATCAACCGTAGTTTAATTCGTGCATTTGTTGGCTTGAAACGGCAGACGAAAAGGAACAAAAACACTTATGCATCAACCTAATAGATTTGTAAAATGGATTTATTTGACAATAAATGAGAATGGTTTTTAATTTGAATTCAAAATGATTGAGTTTGAAATGATTTTCCTATTTCAACGGTGTTCTCAAGCACAATTTTGATTGGTGTGAAACAAATTATGCCCTACATAACTCATTTTACCATCTCTGAAGTAGAGTATAAAGTGGAGTATATGTTGATAAAGTTTAGTTGGACATAGTCCTTTTATGGAGTTAAGAATGCAAAAAATGGTGGGGCCGGGACTCGAACCCGCGACCTCTCGCTTCACCCTCAGTTATCGGGCAAACTCTTTACCAATGAGCTACAGCTACATGTTATGCTTTTCTGTTTAATACCTTCAAGTGCCCAGCTTCTTCAGCCGACAACGAGTGACAAAAGTCGGCATTCTCTTTGGGGATCAGGGCTAAATGAATGAATTGTAATGAAATGAATTGATTTAGCATACTGTAGTCAAAGACAGACTATAGCGCTAATTAGTTAGTCAAAATAGCCCTTTTAAATCAATTCTAGAGTTATTGAAGTGTTTTGAAAAAACTAAATCAGATGCAGAATCTTGTCGGACATTTCCATATTGGCAACCCAACTTTAAGCGCAAATTTCTTGGTGTTTAGCTGTCCAATGTAAATAGTTTTTATACCAATCGGTAGAGAAAGACTTGGCGCATCTAATAATATCAAGAATATTTAAATTGAATAGCCGAGCACCAAGAGATTAGAGCTCAAAGTTTAGATTGCTAATGGGAAAAGGGGCGGGCCGGGTATCAAGTGGTCAATAACCGTTCAAAACACTATCAGAAGCTAGATTTGATTCAAAAAGGACACCTTTGACTTTGTTTTTGTTCTTAGGTGAGATTTTACAGTTTCTGAAGTTTATGTACAGTACTGGACAATGAAATATGATATTTGAAAAACGATCGTCACTTTCGTGCGTCTGTAACTCTCTTGTCTTTGAGTTTAAACTATTAGTGTTCTACATTTTCTGAAAGCTCTTTTCAATGGCTACACAATGGTAATATTAATATTTAGAAATACGGTAAAGACAAGGGAGTTACAGACGGGCGAAAGTGATGATCTTTTTTCAAATATCATATTTCATTGTCCAGTAGTGTAGCTTACAATTTCCCTTTTTGAAACCCACATTTAACGTCTTGTGGAAGCGAATCGATGAGAGTCATCTTTTCTCAGAAATTTCGATATTAAAACTGAAATTTTCAAATCTAATAATAGAAAATCGAGGAAATTGGAAATGAAATTGAAAAAAAAGTGAAACTTAAATCGAATTTCGAAAATAGAAATTCTTAGAAAAAAAGAAAAAATACTTTTCTCGTTGATCAAAAACATCATAAAAGAGAGAGAATTTCAAGGAAATTTTTCCGACAATATTTACCCACAAAATGTTGAGAAAATTTAGATGAAAAGGGAAAAGAAATGATAAATAACTGAAATGATGATGATATTTTCAAAAATAAGATCCTTCAGGCAAAAGTTTTCATTGTTAAATACTTCGAAGTTAGTCTCAAAGCTCCGTTTTAGATAAAAGGATTGAACAAATTGTTTTTAGCGAAAATTGTGGCACTTTTTAGTTCATCTACTGTTCGAATAGGCTGTAAAATGTGTGAATGTTTGAAAATACTGTAGATACTGTGAATCTGATGCTGTCGATCCAATGATGAGCCTGTCTATCATTAAACGTGTCCACTTTCTCGTCTACCGCAGTCTGCCTCTAGTTTTTCTTCAGTCCATCTTTTTGGATTGATTCGATGGATTTACAGGGATAACAAAAGATAAAAAGTGAATACCGTATTTCCTCTAATAGTAGTGCACCGTGAGCGTCGCCTAAATTGCTCGAAATCTCGAGAACCGCTTATCAGAACCTATCGATGTGGGGTCGGAAAATGTAGCTGACGATGAGATTTTGTGGGGGATTTGAGTGTTGAGCTTCTGCAAGAGCTTGGAAACCGTAAAGTCGTCACCAACTCGGCTTGCCTGGGTGCACTACTATTAGAGAAAATACGGTATATTTGATGAAAGCGAGGGCCAGGGGTACAGTATTTTCAAAAGCTGAGATGTTATAAAGAAGAAATCATTGGCGAGGACTCTCACTAGGGAAAGACAATAGAACTTTTCTAATATACCTTGCTAAAAGCTATAACTGTTTTCTAAAGAGAAAAAACTAAAAGCAGATTCGAACTCCGCCTGGTCGATTCTATAAAATGGGTCTCGTTCCAAAACGTCACGCCAAGTGCTTGCCTTTCCTTTAGTCAGGTCTCAAGAGGAGATTCGAGTTTACAGGGTGTAACAATTGAAAAAAATACTAACAAGTTTGGGGCCAGGAGTTTCGGCATAGTAACGAACACATTAGCGATCAGAAAAGGGAACGCCTATGCATCGGGGACGTGTGCCAGATGGAGAGCGATTACGGGGCTGCAGAAAAAACACCTCGCCAATGTTCTAGGGATTTCTCTTTGCTTTATAGATTGTATAAAAAGATATTCAGCTTAAACTTTGTACCCGGGGGTTTTCAGGATCGGCGATTCGATTTGAGCTATTCATTTTGTTGAGTCTACCATTCGGAACTCGTTTTTAATTGATCTAAACATTTAGATAGGTTCGGAAACTTCTAAAAAACCAAAATGAACATATGATTTCGAATTTTTTCTTAAGCTCGTTAAGTTAACTTTAAGAAGAAAATAAAATTTGACACAGTGAGCCAAAACTTTGCTTTAAGCAAGTACAAGCAAGTAACAAGCAAGCAAGTAAACTGTAGAGAGATCCAAAAATGTTTTCAAATTTACATTTTCACACGGTTCACTAAACATTTCAACCCAATAATTGAACGAAATTTTCTTTGCCTAAAGATTTTTATCAATTGGGCGTTTTCTTCTTTTCCGTTTCGTTAACCCTATTAGAGTTTTGTCGATGATTTGAACAAATCGAACAAATTGAACAAATTGAACAAATTGAACAAATTCTTTAATAAAGCACATTCTTTTGGCTCTGTAAATTACTCCTTTTAGATGAAGAGATGTGAAAAGTTCAAACCAAAAATCAAGGACATTAACCATGAGGAAAAAAGGCTAAAGGCTTTGCAAATTTAAGGCTGATAAAGGCTAGAATCAGCTTTTTCTAAACTTTTGAAATTGATCGTAATCTTGCTACTTTAAAAGCAAAAGTTATAAAAATAGAGAAATCGGGAGCTGGTCAAAATAGCGTCAGCTAAAATAATGCGCTTGCGGTTAAGTTTATTTATGTTTCTTATTTTCATTAGATTTAGAAAAAGATTATCTATTTGCTGAATTTTTTGGAGTCGTTTAGAAGAAATCTGGGATGAGAAAATCCCAAAAAGCGAAAGAGGGCTCAAAAAGAGATTAACGAACCTTTTCTCGACACCAATTCTGTTTTAAGTGATCTCAAAGTATACAAAATGTAGATAATTTTATTCTGCATTCAATAAGAACAAGAAACACATAGAAACTTAGCAGCAGAGGGGCTATTTTTGGCGCTTTTTATAAACGGCACTGTTTTGACTAGTTCTCGTGAAATCAGATATAAATAGAGGCAAGATAGCTTTCAAAGTTGTCTAGTAGCTTTCAAAGTTGTCTAGGTTTAGCCAAGAAGAGCTTAAGCTTAAGCTTAAGAAGGTCAAGAAGGCCCTTAAGCTCAAGTAAATTATGAGCTATTGCTTATAGGGAAAGGGAAAAGTGACTCATGTAAGTTATGACGGTGAGCAAGCATGAGTCTCTTGTAATCTTTGTATTTATTTGTCAAATGTGATTGTGAGTTATGAACGATGTTTTCATGAGTAAGCAGAAGTAGGAGTTCAGCAAAGTGTGCGCTTTGTACAGATGAATCATTCAACGAGGATCTGTGTACGGAAATTCCAAAGGAAAAATCATATCTTTATGTTTAGATTAATCAATTAAAGTAGATCTTCCATTAAAATAGAAATATTGGGTTGGTGAATTGAAAACTGCGGGACTTTAGACTAAAATTTATTCAACATAAAACAATGAATTCATTCCAAATAATCTCCATTATTATTGACGACTTCTGCCCGTTTTACAGGCAATTTGCGGATTCCTCTTTCGTAGTTGGATTTTGGTTTGTGTGTGAGACAAGTGTGAGACTCAAAAATGGAGGACTGGAGATGTCCCAGTTTGAGCACTTTCTTCAAAAGAAACCCATTTTGGCGTCAATAGAAAAGTTGTAGAGAATCAAAAGTTAGGCTTATAGCCAAATTTCCAAAAAGATACACTTAGTAGTTTCGCTTAAAATGTTTTGTGAAATTCAAGTTTTGTGAAAATTCGTAAATTTCGCATTTCTTGAAAGTCAGTTTTTGAATAGTTCTGAAAATTTGTTCAAAATTGATTCAAAATTGTTTCCTGGATTAAGAATGGATCCTAGACCAGTTTCCTGGATTTGAACGTTTTGAATCGAAAAACTTTTGAAGCCAATTTTTGACTGCTTCTTCCGGATCGAAGTGTTCTCCCGAAAGCTCATTACTCATGGTCCCGAATAAATAGTAATCAGAAGGGGCGAGGTCCGGACTGTATGGGGGATGCGCCAAAAGTTCCCAACTAAGGCTGTTTATTTTAGAGCTAGTCAGTTTTGCAACATGTTATTAGTTATTATTTAGATAAAAAGTAAATTCTCTAACAGATTTCCTCTTTTATTGGGTTGGTGAAAACTGCGGGACTTTGAACTAAAATTTATTCAACAAACGATCAATTCATTCCAAATAATTTCCATTATTATTGACGACTTCTGGCCATTTTAAAGGCAATTTGCGGATTCCTCTTTCGGAGTAGGATTTTGGTTTGTGTGTGAGACAAGTGTGAGACTCAAAAATGGAGGACTGGAGATTTCCAGTTTGGACCCAGTTTGAGCACTTTCTTCAAAAGAAACCCTTTTTGGTGTCAATAGAAAAGTTGTAGAGAATCAAAAATTAGGCTTATAGCCAAATTTCCAAAAAGATACACTTAGTAGTTTCGCTTAAAATGCACGTTTTGTGAAAATTCGTAAATTTGGCATTTCTTGAAAACCAGTTTTTGAATCGTTCTGAAAATTTGGATATAAGCTTGATTTTTGATTCTCTACAACTTTTCCATTGACACCAAAATGGGTTTCTTTTGAAGAAAGTGCTCAAACTGTCACATATGACAATAGTCGGCAGTTTTCAATTCACCAACCGAATAGAACTATAGAAATAGAACTACTTTCGATTATTGAAAAGCACAGATGCCAGATCTAAAAATCGACTTTTAACCATTTGAAATGCGTTTGATTGAGCTCAATTTTGACAAACGTTTGATGCAAAATCCAAAATTGCTCCAAAATCAATCCAAAAAAGGGTTTTTATTTCTTTTTCAAAAATTTTTACGATCTTTGACTTTTTCTTTTGGCTTATTCGATTAGAACTTTATCGGCGATTTGAGATTTTCAAGGTGAAATTGGGTGATATCGAATTCTCCGAAAAAGCAAGGCACTTGATAAGAAAGTTTTCTTGGCACTTCCTGCTTGAAATTTGGTTTTTTATAAAAACTTTCTTTCAGATAATGAATCTTGTGGAAAATTGGCATTTTGTTTGGTCATCATTTGAGCTTCTTCTCTCCGATTTAGTCGCTTTTATTTATCATTTTGCACTTTTTATATGGAATGTGCGAAAGGAAAGAAAGGTCAAATAAAAAGGGCAAAAAAATTTGAAAATAATGTTTTTTCAAAAACTTCAAAATAATGTTTATAAAATTTTGAAAAAAGCGTTTAAAAATAGCCTTTTTTTTCTAATTTCTAATTGCTCATTTTGATTCTAATCTAATAAGAGTGTGTTTCTCGTGAGTAATGTAATGCTTTTTTGCTTTTTGTAATGTAGTAGTAATGTAGTAATGCTTTTTTTAAAAAGCACACTTGGGAAAAAATCACCCTACTTTATTATTACCGTAAAATTACCGTACTTTAAACTATTGCTAAAAAGTGACGCAAAAATCACGAGCCCCGCATTATATAAAAAAATAAAAAAAAAAAAAAATACCGACTGGGGCTACCAGTGGTGAATTTATCGCATACACGAAATATATCAATCACAATACAACGACACACACAATACTAGGCTATATCTTAACTTAACCCACGTCATGACAGACGGCTCCCTAACCCTAAGCTCAATGGGGAACTAAATAGCTTTTTTGGTGGTGAAGGGAAGATGACGATGAAGGAGTGGCTTGTCACTTTAAAGAACTGGGGCCACAACCACCAGACTGCCCTCCAGAAAAACCTCTCAACCCGAAGGGAAAGGAAATCCGAAGGGGGTGACCATGTCGCATGTGGGGTTCGAAGCCTCGACCTTCCGATTAAGATAAAAGACACTTAACCAGTCAGCCACACGTGCTATATATGACACTTTTAAAGATACGCAGCCGTTTAACTGATTTCGTGGGAAATTCCCTTTCGATGTAAAAAGTGATCTTTTTTCAAAAACCTGGGAGTAGGCTAGTTTCCGCAACTTGCCATAACTTTCTTCTAAGTGGTTATAAACTATTTATAGGTTATAAACTTTAAACTGCACTAGATTACGGCTTCTGAATCAAAGAAAAGAGAAAAATTACTGAGAAACTGGTAAGACTTGAGATTTATCGTGTTAAAATGAGCTAATTGGGTTTTTATTTGATTTTGATAGTATGCACTACCCGAAATTTGGGGGTAGGCTAATTTCCGCAATTTTTTTTTGCGCAATTCGCCATAACTATCTTCTAAGTGGGTCAATCTTTATGATTTTGGTTTCATTTTGTTGCACTTATTGAGATCTACAAAATGAAACCAAAATCATAAAGATTGGTCCACTTAGAAGAAAGTTATGGTGAGTTGCGCAAAAAAAATTTGGCGCAAAGTAGCCACCCCCAAAAAATGTCAACTAAAAATTCTACTATTGTCAAAGTACTCATCTGATATTGTTAAACTCTGCGCCCTGCCTTTTTGCCATTTTCTGATCACAAAAAGCAATTATTTCCGGGTTCACCGCGAACTGATCCTTATCTTTTCCGATCACCACAAAAAAAACGCAAATTTCAAGAGCTTTTTGCAAAAGTTTTGGCAACTTGATCTCAATAAGTAGATCTCAATAAGTGCAACAAAATCAAAATCAAAATCATAAAGATTGGTCCACTTAGAAGAAAGTTATGGCAAGTTGCGCAAATGGCCCTGTTGCGGAAACTAGCCTACTCCAAAACCTGCGCAAAAAAGCAAAAATTGCTTTTATATTTTTTCGCGCAGGCGCACTTTTTAGAAAACGCATTACTCGATAATTACTCGAGCTATTACTCGAGCTATTACTCGAGCTATTACTCGAGCTATTACTCGAGTAATTACTTTACTCGCAAGGAACACACTCTAGATTCTAAACTACTTTTGCCAGTAATTTTAGAATCATTCTCACTCTACAAGTAATCAAGAAAGCAAAAAAAAGCAAAAATTTAAAATTTCCTTTGATCTACAAAGGAAATACGATCTTTTTATAAAGTTATCTTTAAAATTTCGTGATTTTTCGTGTTATTCTAAGAATTTTAGATTGTGTCTCCAGTCGAAAATGAACTTCTTTTGAAAAGCGCCACCCAATTGGCAAAGGAGATTCGTGAGAAGAAAGTTTGTTTACTGTAAAAATAAAGCTTACTCCTTTCTTTGTTTAAAGCACACTATTTCTATAATATTTTCAATATTCAACAATTTACAGATCACCTCAAAACAAGTAATCCAAGCTTATGTGAATCGATTGAAAGAAGTAAGTTTTTGAGCTCGATTTTATTTAGTTGTCATTTACTATTATTTAAAATTACTTCTATAAGTTTATTATTAATGCAATTACTTCTGTTATTATTAGTCTGTTAAACAAAGTTCGTGGTCATTTGCAGAAAAATTGAATTTTTTTTATGCAAATAATCAGAAACAAGAGCGTTCACTCTTCGAAGTAGATCCATTTTCCGTCTTTCTCTATGACTCTATGACTCTATGACTCTATGACTCTATGACTCTATGACTCTCTATGACTCTTCGCAGTAGATCCATTTTCCGTCTTTCTCTATGACTCTATGACTCTATGACTCTATGACTCTATGACTCTATGACTCTCTATGACTCTTCGAAGTAGATCCATTTTCCGTCTTTCTTTATGACTCTATGACTCTTCGAAGTACACTACTGGACAATGAAATGTCGTATTTGAAAAAAGATCATCACTTTCGCCCGTCTGTAACTCCCTTGTTTTTACCGTATTTCTAAATATTAATATTACCATTGTGTAGCCATTGAAAAGAGCTTTCAGAAAATGTATAACACTAATAGTTTAAACTCAAAGACAAGGGAGTTACAGACGCGTGAAAGTGACGATCGTTTTTCAAATATGATATTTCATTGTCCAGTACTGTAGAACCATTCTCCGTCTTTCTCTATGACTCTATGACTCTTCGAAGTAGATCCATTCGTCTTTCTCTATGATCTTCTGCCATCGATCAGCAAGATTTCGAATCTACAAGTACCAAGCCGGCTTCTTTGAATCAAAGAACTCTTGACACGCTTCTTCAACTTCTTGTTTTCAACTTCTTGCCTTCAAGTCCAAAATCACCGTCATTAAAGCGTTTAAAGCACTCGAGCAGTTTTACCAACAGTTCCTTCGCCTTTCACCTCACAAATCACACAGATCTCGCAGACAGATCATAGAGATTTTTTTCAATAGAGCAAAACATCAAGTTAACTTTTATTCATATGAAGATGTGGGATGTGTAAAGTAAGCTCTATCACTCGAAAGAAGCCAAAAATTAAAATAACCCATTGCCAAAATAATTTAGATAATTTGATCTTTTGCTGCAAGTGAACGCAAACTTTTTTATCAACCTAGTATTACTGTAATTCCTTTTGTAATAAGTATTTCAGGTAAATCCAACAATAAACTGTGTTGCCGAGAATTACTCGGAGAAAGCTTTGAAGAGTGCGGAAGCAGTTGATGAAGAGATCAGAAATGCGAATGATGAACAGTTACAAAAGGTTTATCGAAAAAATAAGATTTAATTTTAAGAAAATCGAATACTGTATTCTCTCTAATAGTAGTGCACCATGAGCTAAATCGCTCGAAATCTCGAGAACCGCCTATCAGAACCTATCGATGCCGAGCTAGACTCGGCTATCAACTTTGGAAGGTTATATAAAAAAAGTTGAAAGGTTGAATCAATTAGATAATAAGCACCGTTTTAGTAGACATACTTAAGATTTTTCTCCAAAAAAACCAAAACACTTGACTCAATCTGGGCCAATCTAGGTCCTCTGAAGTGTGGGATTATACCGTATTTTCTCTAATAGTATTGCACCATGAGCGTCGCCTAAATTCCTCGAAATCTTGAGAACCGCTTATCAGAACCTATCGATGTGAGGTCGGAAAATGTAGCTGACGATGAGCTCTAGTGGGGGATTTGAGTGTTGAGCCTTTGTGAAAACTTTGAACAAAGTTGGAAAGCGTTTAGCATTTACCGATTGCTCCTTGTTAAATCAACTTTATTTTGAACGCTGTCACATAGCCGTTAACTGTTTTACTGATAATTTAGTGTAAGTTAAAAGAAAAACTAAATTATTATAGTCATTTGATAGCCCTGAATCTCCTCCTGAAAACGAGTACAAAATTACTGGGAACTTTCTACAAAATACCTAAGCTTTGCCTAAATTCCTCGAAATCTCGAGAACCGCTTATCAGAACCTATCGATGTGGGATCGGAAAATGTAGCTGACGATGAGATCTAGTGGGGGATTTGAGTGTTGAGCCTTTGGGAAAGCTTGGAAACTGTAAAATAGTGACCAACTCGGCTCGCCTGGGCGCACTACTATTAGAGAAAATACGGTAATTTATTCATGATTTTACTTGTTAATTTAATAAAATAAAATCTCATTTTTTTAGTTCGCAACAGAGAAACCCCTTCTCGGAGTCCCGTTCACTTGCAAAGATATGTGTGAAATTGAAGGTAGAAAAATATTAAACTTCTGAATTGTTTTTAGTTCTCTGACAAATTTTTCCAGTAAACTGAAAGATTTCATTTTGTGAAATGAATCAAAATCTAATTTTGCTTTTGAAAAAAAATGAAATTTGCTTCTGAAAATGAAAGTTTTAATTTTTCCTTTCATCCGAACAGTTTTCCTCTTTAAATTCCCTTTTTCAACCTACGCCAGTTTCAATTTTCTTTCTCTAAACAAAGTTTTGCAATTTTTAAACAGTTAAACAGTTTTACTAAAGTATTAAAATTTGATTCTATCGATCACAATTAGAATTGACGGTAAGACACTATGCTAAAGCTAAGGCATTACAGGAGCTAAAGCATTACAGCATTACAGGAGCTAAAGCTAAAGCATTACATGATAAAGAAAAAGCTGTTTACCCCACCACAATCAGCCTCCACTCCATTAATTCATAGGCAAATACAATGATGACAGATTGAAAAGAAATGTGCAATTGAAAATAAATTTGTTTGTATCCAGAGAAATTACTTCTCAATAAAGTTTTTCAGTTTTAAAATATTCTTAACAAATTCGCGACGATACAGCCGACGGATTTAGCCATTTTTTAGGCTTGATTGAGCTGAAAATTTGCAATTAAGGGTTTTCGTGGATGGGGAATTTGAATCCGTTATTACTTTTTAAAGAAAAGTGCTTTATTTTCGTTTTCGTGCGTTTCGAATCTTTAAGAATATATAAGGCTATACACGCATTTCCTTGAGAAAAATGACATTTTTAATCATTCGTTTTACATAAGCAATGGGGGGTGGGACAAATGCGACTTTTTTGCGCACCTGGACATTTGCGCACCTTTTTTTTTGCTGGAAAAGGCCTTAGGAAAGGTCGTAGAGCTTCAAAAATGTTTTCGTAGAAGGGAATCGTATGCGTAGATTCCGAATTTCGACAAATCAGACCTCGCTGACACGTCAAATTTGGGCTAAAAGGCAAAAACTACGCAACTTAACGCTTTTCCGCAGTTTTTGCCTTTTAGCCCAAATTTGACGTGTCAGCGAGGTCTGATTTGTCGAAATTCGGAATCTACGCATACGATTCCCTTCTACGAAAACATTTTTGAAGCTCTACGACCTTTCCTAAGGCCTTTTCCAGCAAAAAAAAAGGTGCGCAAATGTCCAGGTGCGCAAAAAGTGCGCAAAAAAAAGGTCGCATTTGTCCCACCCCCAAATATTCTTAACAAACTCGCGACGATACAGCCGATGGATTTAGCCATTTTTTAGGGTTGATTGAGCTGAAAATTTGCAATTAAGGGTTTTCGTGGATGGAGAATTTGAATCCGTTATTACTTTTTAAAGAAAAGTGCTCTATTTTCTAATTTTTCATTCGATTTAATTAATTAAGTGTAACTGCAAATTCAACCATGTACCGAAAGGTGCGTGACTAGAAAAACGTGAAAATTTTCTCGTTTTCATGACCGTTGCTCAAAAACTAATAATAGATTCAGATTCTTCATCCCAGAATGCCTTTGGTTACAAATTTTCAAATCTACAGCTAATAGCTGTCATCCGAAAAGCCGTCAAGTCAAAAAAAGACAAAAATTTGAAAATTTACAGGCACTACGACAACTTTTGGCGCTTGGAAAATGAGGAATAATGTGAGCACGAGAACCGATTCTATGATAAAGCTGTTTGTTTTTTAAAATTTTAAACCTTAAAAGTGATTTTTATTTTCAGTTACATGGACGCTGGAGCAATCTGCTTGGCAAAGACTGTTGTCCCGGAAATGTGCATGTGGTTGGGATCAAATAATGCGATTCATGGAGTCACGAATAATCCCTATGATTCAAGGTAGATCTTTAATAGCTTGATCTTTAGTTATGGAGCTTTTCAGAAGAAACAGCGGCGGTTCAAGCAGCGGCGAGGGAGCGATCATTGCGGCGGCGGCTAGTGTGGTCAGTTTTGAATAAAGCACAACTACAGTTAACGTTTTTTTTTTTACAAACTTTTATATGCTCGTATCACCTATCCACTAGAAGAATGTAGCTACAAGTCTACAAGTTTGATTGGCTAGCTCGAAAACTTTAAAGCTAAAGCGTAGCGAGGATTTCAGTGTTTTTGGAAGAATCGCTAGAGTTTCGTCCAGAAGTCCCCAATCAATTTAAGAAGAAAATTTCGTAAAATCTTCAGGCTACATCATGGCTACAATAAAATTTTTCTAAAATAGAATTCACTTGGAGAAATTTGCCTTTTTGTGAGAAAATTTTGGAGATTTTGCGAAATTTTAGCAAATTTTTTTTTTTAGAAGAGATTTTAGACCCTTAGCCGTTATCCAGGAAACTTTTAATTGTTGCCAATCGATTCTCCATATCAGTTTACACAAGACGCATGAGCTAAAAATTCGATTTAAAGCTTGTTGAGCGAGCTAGAGGGGTTTAAAGTTGGGTTGTCACGACTTTTTTTTTTGTCACGCCTCTGTCCAACTTCGAGCCGCTCTAGCTCGCTCCACAAGCTTTAAATCAGATTTATTAGCTCGTCTGTCCTATGTAAACCGATATTGATTGATATTGAATTGATTGGTGGCGGTTAAAAGTTTCCTGGATAACGGCTAAGGATCTAAAACCTCTTCTGAAAAAAAACAATCCGCTACTTTTCTCTTTTCCTCTCAACGGGCTTTCTATGCTATCTAGAACCTAGGAAGCTCTAGCTCTACCTAGGAAGCTCAATTTTATCACAAGATCTAGTGCTTTTTGTCTCCAACACTGTTTCTTTTTGTTTACAAGCGAGAGTTCTTTCACTTTTCCCTAAGCACGACTATTTATTCGAAAATCCCAAATTACGGACAAGAGTCTTTTGTTCTAATTGAAAACATTTTGAAATCTTTCAGCACAAACATCAAAGACAGCCTTTCTCTTTTCTCCCACCCATGACTCACCTCCGCAAAGAGCTCCCTCTGTGCGTTCACTTCCCGTTTCCCCATTTCCCCCAATCGCTCACTTTCTATCACATTCGAATATCTCTGGGTATATGAATTCCTTTCAATTTTCTCCTTTTCGTGGTCCGGAGTCGTCGGGTTATCTGCTCAAGTATTTCCCCAAAAATGTGACTCTTCGAGTGAACTCGATGTGATGGGATTCCCCCTGTTTGGGATCCCCCATCGAGACAAAAGCCCGCAAAGCTCTCTCAGAAAACAAAACCCTATCCGCCGGCATTCACTCGACCACAACTTTTTGTTGAATTTAGATAAAACTTAGCTAAAATCTTTGAACTTTAATCGCAATTTCGATTTGCGAAGACTCACTTTGGTTATTAAAATTGAATGCATTACACACTTGAGCTTACCGTAGATCTACAAACAGCAAGTTCTTACATTTTTAGCTTACAGTTCCATAAATCGATCTAGATTGGTCTTGGCAGTGACATTGGTGGAAGTATTCGAATCCCATCGACAATGAACGGAATCTATGGGTTGAAGACGAGTCCAGGTAGCTTACAAAAAGCATGCCTAAAGCTGAAAACACTTTTAAGCTCACTGTACAATATCACCGTACTATTTAAAGGTCATAAAATTTCTATAATCAAAGTTTCAGGCTCCTTCCCAATCGATGGAGGGTTCGGGAATCCAGCTGAAGAAACATTTGGCATCTTTGGACCAATGGGACGATATGTCGAGGATTTGGAGACGATTATGAAAGTGAGTTTGCATTTGTATGCTCAAGCTTGTAATTTATGCATTTATATGCTTAATTTTTGATTCAAATTTAGTGCTACAAGGACACCAAGGCTCGACCGGCTACGGATTTCTCGGTGAAAGAGATCTTGGTGCCGTCCGATTACTCACTCCCATGGGTTCCGCGAATCAGTTCTGAGATGCGAGAAGCAAATAAGAACGTTTGTAAGATTGGAAATAAGCAAATAAGAACGTTTGTAAGCTTGCAAAATACGGTTTATTTGAGTATTTTTCTATTTAAATTTATCAAAACACAGTTAGAGAACTGATAGTTTCCGGATGCGATTCTCTAGCGTTTTTTCTCTAGCGTTTTTCTCTAGCGATATCTTTATCAATCTTTGTATAATCTTTACCGAGAAATCTTCAGGTTGTCGACTTTTTATTGCAAGAATTCAATCTTCCATCATCTGGAACAATCGATTTCAATCCAGCTCGAAAAGATTTCATGAACAATTTCCTTGCTGTTTTCAACAATTTCGCACAAAGAAACAAGAAACCCGAGTTGACGATGAAGGGACTTTTCTATATGGCTGATGTAAGTTTTATTTTGAAGTTAACCGAGCTACCGAAATGGCTTCTCGGTCGATCACATCACTCATTAGCCTCGTGCTTTCAAATCACTCAAGTTTTAAACATAATTTTTAGATCTTTAAATGCAAATTTGAGTTTTTAAAGCTCTACTTCAATTCCTAGGGTCCATTCAACACCTTAACCGAGCTACCGAAATGGCTTCTCGGTCGATCACATCACTCATTAGCCTCGTGCTTTCAAATCACTCAATTGGATCGATCGTACACTGAAGAACAACTGGATATGGTAACACAATAGTTTTCTTTTATTTACAAAACTCGTTTTAGTATATGAAAAAGTTGGACGATCTTCGCGCTCACTATGATCACCTTTTGTCCACCGATAAAGTGATCGTGCAACCTGGATGGCCGAGTGTCGCCGATTGGCATTACGCCGAGATCTCGCATCTCAATTTTGCTTACACTGGTGGGGATAATTGAAAAGTCACCAGCTTTACAAGTAAATCTTTACAATTTAAGGAGTAGTCAACTATTTGGGACTCCCGTCGATCGTTTGCCCTGTTGGCCTCAACGATGATGGACTCCCGCTCGCCATTCAGGTTATTGGTTTCAAAATTCATAACAAAATTGAAACAATGATAACTAGCGCAGAAACGCCATCTTGAAATTCTAAGTGCTATGTGTTTTTCCGTTTTACTCCATAGCATCCAGTTTTCGAGAAAAATGCTTTTAAAGTTTGGGTACTTTTTGGAAAAATGGTACCGCCGCGGTAGGTGGACGAATTACGAATAATAGCTGGATAGTGTAGCGGATAGTGTGCTTAAACCTCCCGCGCAGGGGCTCCGCTAGGCCCTGGTTCGAGTCCCCTCACACACAAAACCTTTTCGCTTTTCTGTTAAAGAACTAAAACCAATTTTTAGTCTATAAACTGTCTCTAAACAGTATCTATAAACGGTAAGAAGCTAAATAAGTCAGCTAAAGTCAGCTACGACTATATACGAGATATATCTCCGTTGCTTACACTCATCGATGAATTACTTTCCTGCAAGTAACGGCTGGATGGTGTAGCGGTGAGTGTGCTCAAACCTCCTGCTCAGAGGGTCCGCTAGGCCCTGGTGCGAGTCCCCTCACAGACAAAACTTTGCGCTTTTTTGTTAAAGAACTAAAACCAATTTTCAGTCTATAAACTGTCTCTAAACAGTATCTATAAACAGTAAGAAGCTAAATAAGTCAGTCAGCTAGTCAGTCAGCAAAGTCAGCTACGACTATATACGAGCTATATCTCCTTATATCAGTTACAAGGCCATAAATCTCCATGAAAACTGTTTTATTTCAGATAATCGGCCCTCGTCACAGTGATTTCCATTTGTTAGAGATCGCCAAGAAAGTTCATTCAAAGTTCGGCGGATGGAGAGAGCCGGGATCACATGAAAAAGCATAAAATCTTATTCAAATCAACTCAAAATCTAATTATCTTTATTATCATAAAACGTACTATTCATTAATTAATAAAGAAGAGTCCATAGCTCAAAGTATTCCGAAAAAAGAGGCGTTTGATTGTTTGAATAACAATCAAGCATCTTAATTTTCAAGCTAATCAATTCCAAGAATCAATTCAACAATTCGAGTGATGTGATTGTGATTCCAAAAAGAATTTGTTCACTTGATCACTCTTGCGAAATCAGTGACTCTCTTGAAGGCAAAGAAAACGATATAAGCCTTATCAGCTATGAGAATTACGAAAGAAAGACAGACAATGCTTTCAAGCTTGAAATTTGCCCGTTTTGCCTGTTTCGATCTCAAGCACATCATTCCAAGTTCTTTCCTTTTGCATGACTGTTATCTTTTCCTCAATGTTTGTCCAGAAATTTGTCATCTCTTTCCGAAATTTGTCATCTTCCTTGGTCCATAAAATGAATCGACTGTGAAGCGTCTTTTTGCACAAACATCGAATTTTCTAATTGAATTCGGATTTGAAATTTGTATTAAATGACGAATTCGAACCCAAATTCGACTCCATCGCAATCCTCAGCTTCATATATTCAACGAATAATCTCACCTCATGGATTGCTGAGTCTCATCGCTATGGTAGCGTTTTCCATCCTTTTTAGAAAAAGAGTTTTCATTTTTTTAAGTACAATTTGTTGCTTATAAGTCTTATAAGTAAAAACTTAATGCAAAAAATGAAAAGACACGGCTCTTTCCCTGAATCGTGATCTTTTAATAGTTTCCTGGTCTTTTGCAACTTTCTGTTCTTACCAAAAGTCTTTTGAAATTGTTTTAACGTATTTTATTAAGTTCCACATACACCGGTTTATTTGATCAGAATTTAAAAAAACAATTCTAGTGACGGGGATAAACAGCCTCCATACGAACCAAAAAATGTTGAAAAGATTTAACCTTTCTCTGTTACTCTCCTAAACATACATTCAAATAAATAAGTTGGAAGTCGATTTTTTTATTGTTCCACGCAAATGGCAATTTGGCAAATCAAATGGCTTCACCGCGGCCCACATCGCTTCCAAATGTAACTATCGAGTTTACGTTTTAAAGATTTCATTATACTTTTTGTGTATGGATAGTGGGATCATTTAGGTCGATAAACTGGAGCTGAGGATAAGCTGTGATTGTCCCTTGTGATTGGACACTGGTGACTACAATGAGCCGGATGAAGAGGTCGAAACAGATGCGCCACAAATCATGATGAGACTCGAAGCCGAGTCGATCAACAGCCAAGAAGAAGGCGACACTGTGGGTCAGACTGAAATGGTCGAGATGTTGACCCCGACGCAGAAGCCTGTGATGATTTGTGCTTTGCTGAGCTGAGGGCATCTAGTCGATTGGCGAACAGGCGTCCAGTCACCAATCGCTGTCACCACCAAAAAAAACCGGCAATAATGCACTGACGTTGAGATGGACGCTGAAGCCGATAACGATGTCGTTCTACCTCTATGGGCTCGAGTTGAAGAGGCACTAAGGCACAAACATCGGGCGAATAAAAGCCTTGTAACTCGATGGCTGGAAACATCTTACGGCAAACATCCATTCATAAAGAGAAAGCCTCTCGTTTCGGCCGTGGCCACTTCCGGGGGCCAACGTTGGGCGAGATCGCACAGAATTCCTTGTAGTCTCAACAGGATATCACCAAGTTGGCAAGGATTAAAGTGTCTGTCTTGGCGTTACGTGAATGTCAGCTTCACAAACAAGCTTCACAAACTTCACGAGGAAACGCAAGGCGTGCCAAGCCTTGCGTTTTGCTGGGATGCTAAAATTGTGTTCTTACGCTTCTTACAATTGTTCTTTAAATGCTGATTATTGCTGAATTTAATAAAATTTTTTAAAACAATTTCAAAAGACCAAAAAACGGGCTTTTTTTGGCAAAAGACCACGAAACTTTTAAAAGACCATGATTCAGGGAAAGAGCCAAAGACACTTACCACTTTTTTCACTAGCAATTTTAGTTTAGAAGTTTTAAGTAAGGTAATTCTTTAAACAATTCAAAGAGTTGAACTTCAAGTAAACACAAAATTTGCCCCTTTTTACAAACAACAATTCTCTCAATAGTTCAATTTTTCAGGTACTCACCTTTACATTGAATATTCTCACCGTGACAAGATGGGACATTACGGTAAAAATTCTTGCCTATATGCCTATCTTTTGATTTTTCAGTACTATGGCTGGCAACTCCTTTACTGGCCACTCTTTGCTCTGATGTTTATCTATTCTTTATGTTACTTCTTGGTCATCTTGCTTGGTCTAGACATTTTTGAGAAACTCGGAAAAATGGTGGTAAGTCTGAGTTCAATTGCTTCTGAATGATTCTGAAACAAAGAAGGATTCTGAATTCAGTAGAAATATTTAAAAACTGTGCACCAGTCGTTTAGAATTCTTTGTTTTATAATTATCGATGAATTTTCTAGATGCTAGTTTCTCTGGGCGTTGTTGTCGGTTGTTTGATCATCACTGGTTGTATCCTCATCGATTACGCGTCGAAAGCGAATCGATGGTATGATACAAGATACGACGTACGATTTATTCTCGCTTGTGTGAGTTTTTTTTTTATCTAAAAAACTAACAGAAACATCAAATTTCTAAACAAAAATGCAGAAAATTAGTCATTTTGGCTGAATGCCGAAAATGTGATGCCACTTATTGTACAAAATGGCTCACAATTGCCGTATTTTCTCTAATAGTAGTGCACCCAGGCGAGCCGAGTTGGTCACTATTTTACAGTTTCCAAGCTTTTGCAGAAGCTCAACACTCAAATCCCCCACTAGAGCTCATCGTCAGCTACATTTTCCGACCCCACATCGATAGGTTCTGATAAGCGGTTCTCGAGATTTCGAGCAATTTAGGCAAAACTTAGGTATTTTGCAGAAAGTTCTCAGTAATTTTGTACTCGTTTTCAGGAGGAGATTCAGGGCTATCAAATGACTATAATAATTTAGTTTTTCTTTTAACTTACACCAAATTATCAGTAAAACAGTTAACGGCTATGTGACAGCGTTCAAAATAAAGTTGATTTAACAGGGAGCAATCGGTAAATGCTAAACGCTTTCCAACTTTGTTCAAAGTTTTCACAAAGGCTCAACACTCAATTCCCTCACTAGAGCTCATCGTCAGCTCTACCGTATTTTCGCTAATACCGGCGAACCGAGCTGGTGACTATTTTACGGTTTCCAAGCTTTGCAGAAGCTCAACACTCAAATTCCCCACAAGATCTCATCGTCAGCTACATTTTCCGACCCCACATCGATAGTTTCTGATAAGCGGTTCTCGAGATTTCGAGCAATTTAGGCGACGCTCTGGGTGCACCACTATTAGAGAAAATAGGGTATAATCCCACACTTTAGAGGACCTAGATTGACCCAGATTGAGTCAAGTGTTTTGGTTTTTTTGGAGATAAACCTTATATATGTCTACTAAAACGGTGCTTATTATCTAATTGATTCAACCTTTCAACTTTTTTATATAACCCTTCAAACTTGATAGCCGAGTCTCGCTCGACATGCTACTTATTTTTCGGATTTGAGAAGTAACTTTCATTTTTTTTGATAAAAAGTCTTTCATTTTTTAATGATATTCAATTAATCATACTTATTTATAAAATTTTAAAGCAGTAGATCTTGAAAAAATAAGATTTTCTTGGTCTTTAGCCTTCTCTAAATGCCCATAAATCGTTTAGACCTAATTAAGTGAGTTTTTGTGACATTTCTCAAGGATTTTTTTGCACCTCAACTGCGTAGAATATGGGAAATTTCGTTTGTTAACATAAATAAATTCAATCTCAACGAGATTTTGACAAGAACGCTTTCAAAAATCTCATAAATAAATAACGTATCGAGCGAGACTCGGCTATCAAGTTTGAAAGGTTATATAAAAAAGTTGAAAGCTTGGATCGATTAGATAATGATTACCGTTTCAGGAGATATACTTAAGATTTATCTCCAGAAAAATCAGAACGATTGACCCAATATTGGCGAATCTAGGCCCTCTGAAGTGTTTGATCTGAAGTCACCAAAATGGGGTAATGGAGGGTTTCTCCTCGTTTTCCAACAGTAAAGTTCACAAATCACTAAATTGAAATGTTAACCCCCTTTCCCATCTCCATTTGTAACAGAAATCTCCAAAAAAACCAAAACACTTGACTCAATCTGGGCCAATCTAGGCACTCTGAAGTGTGGCTTTAGTTCTGAAGTCACCAAAATGGGGTAATGGAGGGTTTCTCCTCGTTTTCTAGCAGTAAAGTTACAATCACTAACTTGAAATGTTAAATTGAAGGAAACCCCCTTTCCCATCTCCATTTGTAACAGAAAATTCTCGAATTTGCATAAAAAGAGTAAAATCAAGTTTTCCGGAGGGGGATAAAGCCCAATTTGCAGATTTTTGCAAGAAAATGCAAATTTTTATTTATGCAAAAGTGTGAGGGCAAACGGAAATAACCCATAACTATCTGGAAATCAAATTTTTCAGATTTCAGATCAAAGTCCATTTTCAGATTTTAAACTGGATCGTTTTCCTCGTTTACATTGTCCTTTCCGTGCTCACTTTCACCAATAAATGATCTCATCAAGCTCATCATAATTTATTTTCTTTCTGGAGAAATAAAGCTTAACATTTGTATATTTCTTTAATATATTAAAAATCAAAAGTACGCACAAAAGTTGAATAAACTGGACTCGAATGGACTTTGAGAAAATTCGGGAAAGAGTTTTTAACGTCTTTTTTTTCAAATTTTAGTGAACATCGAGCTTTTTGAAGAGTTCAGTAAGTGTGTGATAAAAAAAATACCGACTGGGGCTACCAGTGGTGAATTTATCGCATACACGAAATATATCAATCACAATACAACGACACACACAATACTAGGCTATATCTTAACTTGACCCACGTCATGACAGACGGCTCCCTAACCCTAAGCTCAATGGGGAACTAAATAGCTTTTTTGGTGGTGAAGGGAAGATGACGATGAAGGTGATAGCTGAAATATTGTTAGAAATACTTATTTAGAAATACTAAATACTTATTTCGCTTTTGTTCAGTTGTGAAAACACACATGATGCAGATTAACAACAAACATAGCGTTGGCTAGAGATAATATTAATGTTAGCTTTTGGTATAGCTCTAAAGAGGATACTTCAGGCTTTCAAGTGGTACCAAATGAAGGTTGATTAGACTAACCAGGGCCGCGAAATCGGGCGACGAGACTCACGAATCAGATCCCATTTCTTTCAATTTTGTAGCAAAATACAGCAAAATTTAAGCGATTGCACACAAAGAACACCTCCTTTAAGAACTGATTCACTTTTTGCGTCTTGCCCAGGAGAAGCGTCAGTGAGTCGATGACGATACTTGGGAGGAGGGCCGGAGTTTTAGATCTCGACCTACAGGCATCTGATCGACTTGCGGTTGGTTTCATTCGATTTCTCATTAAATTCTACTATATAGTGATCAATATTAGATTAGGCACTTACTTATAAAAATATCGAGAAAAGCAGCGTTATAAATAAGACTCAAGTTATGTAAAATACCGGTTTTCTCGAGATTTTTGCTGAAACTCTTGTTCTTATTTCTCTTCTTTTTCAATATTTTTCATTTTTCATAATTGTTCTTTGCGATCAAACGTTGTTAAAATTGTTAAAAGTGTCTTTTTTCGAATTTTGAATAAACCAATGTATTGAGTTTAAAAAAATTCAAAGAATTTCTAATCATTTGGATTTTTGGATGAACAGAAAAGCCTTCCTTAAGAAATTTTTGAAAAAGCTTACTAATCTAAGCTGATTTCAAAAGATTCACAGTCAACAGTTTCTATGGTTTGCTTTATTTATTTATTTTTCTTCTGTTTCTGTTACAAAACGGATAAATTCGTCATAATAAAAGCTATGGTAAAAGAATTTTCGAAAGAAATCAGGAAAATGAATTGACTGAATCAATCACATTTCAGGAAAATGAATTGACGAAAAGATCAGTTCACCGAAGAACTAATTTGATAAGTGAAAATTCGCCGAGAGCCTCCTTTAGTTGAAAAATGAGTATAAATAGTAGAACATCTTTCAAACTTTCAAAATCTCTTTTCGGAAATGTTCTCCAACTATTTACTATTTGTTTTGTTATTGATTTGTCTAATTAGTAAGTTTTTGATAGTTTTTAAATTTCAAACTTTCAAAATACGTTTTTTAGGTGTTCAGCTGGTTGAAGGAGCCTGTATGTGCATGTAGGTGGCTTTGTGAATTTGATTTAACATTGTAAAACAGTTAATGAAACAAAAGAAAATATTTGAACACCGTTTAGTCGTGCTCCGTGTCCTTGTGCTGGAGATTTTGGAAACAATTTCCCTTCAAATTACAATCGACAACCGAATTATCACCCGAGATTCCCGTTTCATTGGTAGAAACAAAAAAAAATGCAATTCTTACGGCTTTAGCATAAATTTTTTTGTGAACCGACATTTATATTAACTATATTTGTGTATTTTTGCATAGCTTTTACTCTTTTGCAGAACTCTTTTACAATGGCCGATGAGAATCTCTCATTTCGACTTTATGGCTATTGTTCGAGTAGCTTTAGTTAGCTACAATTCACTATAATAACAAACTCCTAAAAAACAAAGTACCGCAATACAAATCAAAAGATATCTGTTGAAGTTGTTTATTCAAAGCCATAAAAACTTTCTTGCCTAGTTTTCGGGTATTTTGAAAGAATCCGGATATTTTGAAAGAATATTTTAAACCGGTCGTCACCCTTTGAAGGCCTACAACTTTGACCCGTTTGACCAGGAGAATGGCACGATTTGCACGGAAGCCGGAGAAAAGCGAGGAGTCAACAGTGTTCGAATTTATGTCTGACTTTACTTATTTTAGGTGATTTGGGGTATTTGTTCCGTAACACATTCGCGTCGAAACATATTTTTTGTATTATATATTTTTGCATAGCTTTTATGAGCTCTTTTACAATGACCGATGAGAATCTCTCATTTCGACTTTATGGCTTTTGTTCGAGTAGCTTTAGTTAGCTACAATTAGCTATAATAACAAACTCCTAAAAAAACAAAGTACCGCAATACAAACCAAAAGATATCTGTTGAATTTGTTTATTCAAAGTCATAAAAAATTCCGGCTCTTGCGTAGTTTTCGGGTATTTTGAAAGAATCCGGATATTTTGAATATTTTAAACCAGTCGTTACCCTTTGAAGGCCTATAACTTTGTCCAGAGATCATATTTTTGTTAACTTTTTAGATCATTGTACAGAGAAAATTTCAGGCTTTCAAATGATACCAAATAGGACTTGATTGAAAAATCTAGTCCAAGAAATCAGAGCCAACTCTGAGCAAGTGAGGCCTATCCAATCCGGGTGTTGTATCGCCTGGTTTGTATGGGAATGAAAAAGCCAGTCAAGCTCTATTTAGTATTACTTGAAAGCCTGAAATGTTTTCTTTACAATGATATAAAAGTTAGCAAAAATATTAACTCTGGACAAAATTATAGGCCGTCAAAGCGTGACGGTCCGTTTAAAATACCCGAAAACTATGCAAGAGTCAAAAAAAAAGTGATTTTCTTGTTTTGTTTTGCAAAATTATTTAGATATTTGAGTAAATTTTGGACAAAATTATAGGCCTTCAAAACGTGACGGTCCGTTTAAAATAACCGAGCATCAATGTGAAAAATATTCGTGGACGGCTATCGATTGCGTCAAAATAGCGCCATAATAGAAAACGTTCAAAACAGCGCCGTCAAATTTCTCACAATTCAAAAAATCAAACCAATTCAAGTTTTATATCAAAAAATTCCTTTCGTTCTTGGCTACATGATGGCTGAAACAGTTTTTAAAAAAAATTAATATTTCATAGATAAAAAGAGCACTCAAAATGGGTCTCTAAAGATATTCAGTTAACCGACTGAGTATCGCTCGACACACATTTTGAGTGCCCTTTTTATCTATGAAATATTAATTTTTTTTTTTAAAAACTGTTTCACCCATCATGTAGCCAAGAACGAAAGGAATTTTTTTGATATAAAACTTGAACTGGCTTGGTTTTTTGAATTGTGAGAAATTTGACGGCGCTGTTTTGAACGTTTTCTATTATGGCGCTGTTTTGACTACCCCCCAACTTTCTTGTTTCATTACAGTATACAAGGAAAAAAAAAGTGTTCATGCTCAAGCGATTCATTGAAGAGTTTGAAAGTAAAACTTATGGGTTGGGGCTCATTTCGCCGTTCATTTCATTTGCCGTCCTTTTTGTCTTTTGCTTATAACTTTTTCAAATGTCAATCGATTTAGATGTTTTTAGTATCAATCGTTTTAAAATAAAAATTCTACGTTGATTCGTACTAAAAACATCAAAATCTGTTGACATTTGACATAAGCAAAAGAAAAAAGGACGGCGAAAGGTGTCGACATTTCCAGCTTGTAGACAAAATTTTAGAGCAATCGGTCAAGAAACGGCCGAGAAAACGAGGTGGAATTAGGTTTGGATTGGAATTTTCCCATGGCCTTACAGTATCAAATTTATACTAGTGTGGATAGCACTTTAAAGTTTGTAGATAAGTAAAAAGTTGTCAGTTGAAATGTCAGTTGAAATTCATTGATACATTTATTACAAAAACATTAGAAAAGAGTGCAGAATTGGGGCATTGTTGGGAATGGGGGTTTTGAGGAGATCGGCGATGAAGTGGTTGCAGTGGTGGATGGAGTTGAAGTGGAAGAAGAGGAAGAGGCTGACACAGATGATGGAGATGAGGCCTTGCTGAGGGATGAAGTGGTGGTTGATCCGTGAGCTCCGTTGCCTCCACCCATTCCACCTTGTCCTCCTTGTCCTCCACCCAGTCCACCCAGTCCACCTTGTCCTCCACCTTGTCCTCCTTGTCCTCCTTGTCCTCCTTGTCCTCCACCCATTCCACCCATTCCACCTTTTCCTCCATGTCCACCGAAGTTTTGACTCTGAAAATGGGGTTTCAGATTCATTTTAAACGCGAAAGCTGATTCTGTTTAAAGTACAGCTTTAAAATAGAGTCCAATTTAGAGTATTGTATCAAAATTTCAAAGCCAACTTATCAACTTACCAGAGAAACTGGTTTAGCTTCAAAGTTTTTCCAAAGCAAGTATTTTGTGTTGTCATTCTACCTGAATTTGCGACATAATCCATTGCTCCCAAGCGTTCGACTGATTGATGAAAGTCTGGAAATTATAAGTCTCAATCTCAATCATATTTATGAACTTACATTCATTGTCGTCACCTCGGCGGTGGTGAGATTTCTCAAAAATGTGCGTCCAATGTAGACTTTGTAGTTCTGAAAGGGTTGAGATTGTTGTTAAAAGTGATTTCTAATTCCTCACCTGAACAGAGCATCCGATGAAATCATAGAGAATCGTGTCGGATCCATTGCAGAAAGAAGGGGACGCTGGACCGGTGAGGTTGGCGATTTGATCGATCAGAGCTTGAGCCGCCGGTGATGGAGTCACTGGAATGGAGAAGATCAATCAAATATAAAGACAACTTGACAAGACAATAAAGACAACTACAATTCGTAGATTGTTCTAAATATTTTGAACAAGGCCAGACTAGGCCAGGCCGAGCTTTTCGTTAGGCTTGGTCCACAAAAAGTACCCAGAAGCCAAGCTTGAATCTGGGTCGGCTCTATCTTTGCCTAGTTGAGTGAGTCAGCCAGGCACTCATTCAAAAAAAATAATATAAAGGCATACAAAAGCTCACGAGGCTGGAATCCTAAGAGAACCTAGCCACTAAACTTGTTATTTACTATTAGATATATTTTCAAATCCTTTTTCAAACTCACCCCATCCTCCCTGTCCATTTTTGCCTCCTTTATTTCCCTTTCCTTTTCCTTTTCCTTTTCCTTTATTACCCATGGAGACTGTAGTGGCAGAATTGGCTGAGGATTCGCTCAGATTTCTCAATTGATCACTGAGTTCTTTGAATTGCTAAATATCAGCTATAAAAATTCTTTAGCCTTTCGAAATACTTGTTGAACTTGTTGCAATTGAGCGTTGTATTGTGTGACCTCGGCTTGTTCCTCTGTAGTCAATGTTCTCACGGGGATCTCGTTTGCGATTAGCTGATCTCCCTAAAAGGATTTCTTTTCAAAAAAGTTTTAAGTGCAAAATAGAAAGCGAATTTTGACATCGTTTCCTTAAAAGTCCTCGAGTTTTTCTATTTTTCATTAGTATCAAGGGAAAGGGAAAGCTTTTAGGAAAACTACCGTAAATGAAATTCTTAGTCATTCTTAGTCAACTCACCGACACAACACAATCACCCATAATCTCAATGGCCATATTCGGGAAATCGGGGATCGAGTTCCCAGCATTCATTTGCCATCTTCGCCCAAACGCTACCGTAACCAAAACAAGAAGCACAAAATAGTTCAGATGAGACATGTTTTGATGGAATTGAATAAATGAATGTTTGTTGAGGGGAAAATTCGCATTTATATAGTCAAGGGATTATGTTGATCATCTAAATGGAGAGAGAGTTTCCATGTACATTTGGGGTTGATGTGAGGGTGGACCCGGGTCGACCTGTTGAGCGGGGAAAAAGAGGGGAATAATACGGTGACACATCGGTGTGTATGACATGAGCAGAGCACAGAAACAATGCGAATGGGCGCAGTTGCGTAGAAAGGGGATATTGCCGTAGGATGATGAGTGACGAAAAGCTGTAGGTAGAAGCTGGTCAGTCAGATCGACTCGTGTCTGGTCTAAATCGAATAAAATAACAAACTTATGTGATTCCTTTGCTAGTTGGCTCAACATTTATTTGGCTTTAAGAATCCCTCAACATTTTATTCTAGAAACCATTAATATTATAATTTGAGGTACCTTTCGGCATCTATAGATGAATGCAGTTCCAAGTAAGCTCTTGGGTATCCAAGCCAAGATAGAAGTCAAAACCCGGATAGAAGTCAGCAGAACTGGCCTCTGAGGTAAATCCAGCCTCTGAGGTAATAGCGTTGCACTTCTAAATTAACCAGAAACGTTTTCCAAATCAGTTTTTCGCGAGGAATTCGAATTTCTTACTTTTAAAATCGTATCTTTTATCTAAAATTACCAAAAATGCAGAAAATACAAGTACGGGAACTTTTGGCGCACCCTGTAGATACCAAAAGGTACCTCAAATTATAATATTAATGCGCCAAAGCCCACCCTGTATATTTCTTTATTGTCATTGATTGTTTGATCATTGGTCTCTTCACTTTCCGTTCTCAATTGAAACGAAAGGAAAAATGCAATTAACTATTTTTTTCTTGCTCATGACTAAAACTTGAATTTTCAAAGAGTTGTTTCAGTGAAGAAATCTCTTTTTGATTCAAGAAATATTTAGAGCCACTTTTGAGGGTTTCGATGATGCAGTTGAGTTTATCGATCGGATGGAAAAGCTGTGGAAACAATAGAATGATTAGATTGTCGTTGAGGGATTGGAGAGCTGCGGTGTGCGCATGAGGACGAGCACATCAACCATTTCCACGACGAGAAGCGTCTTTGCATGCGGGAAAGGCTCAGGCGCTTCTTTTAAAAGTAACAGAAGCCACAGTGTAGGCTCTACACCCAATTGAGTTATTTGCAGATCCGCAGCTTCATTATCTGTGGTCCATTCAAAACTATTGACAAACAGTATTTTTGAGTGGCGTAAATTTGAGAGCGTTCTTTCCATTCTTCTAAATCATTTACCTCCAATGAAAATAAGTTTCTTCTGATGCCATCACCGGTGAATAATTGTACCCGTTTTTGGCGAAGACGTGTTTCCTCAAGCTACGAGAGCTGCTTTCGCATAAATTTGATCAGCTATTGAATGTGGAGAGTTGAAGGATTCAAATTCTTGAGTAAATTTAAATGAAAGCTGGCTTCTCTCTTCAAAAAAAAAAAGAAAATGCTTCTTTTTGTCTATTAATAACGCAAATAAAACACTATTATGTGTTCAGGGAAAAGTCACGAGTACCAAAAAAAAAAAACAAGCACTTTAATCAATCTTAACACATTTCAGATTATCCGACAACTATCAGAGATGTCTGTGATTGGATCAACGACGAAACCGGAGAGAAATTTTGCTTTAAACTTGCAGAGAAACTTGCAATGACTGAACGCAATGACTGAACGCAATGACTGAACGCAATGACTGAATGCAATGGCTGAATGCAATGACTGAACGCAATGACTGAACGCAATGACTGAACGCAATGACTGAATGCAATGGCTGAATGCAATGACTGAACGCAATGACTGAACGCAATGACTGAATGCAATGGCTGAATGCAATGTCTGAATTTTTCCTCTTGAATAATTTTATAAAATTTCTTTGTTTTTGCTCTCGATGAGAGCTAAATTAATCACTTTTGCTCATAAAATTAAAAAAAAAACAAATCTAACGTGTTTGAAATTGTTCAAAATTTGTTCTTGTTTAATTGCAAATGTAGCTGTGTTTCTTGAGATTCAGTGTTGGATGTGAATTTGACCAACAGTCTTATCACTGATGATATCAGAAGCTGAACGGATTAGCTGTACGGATCAAATGAACGGATCAAATGAAAATTTGTTATTTTCAAAAATCCGATCTTTGAATCAAAAATGCTTTGAGATTTTTGAAAATTCCATTAAGTCAGGAAAAATGAAAATCAGAAAAAAGAACGGGGCGACACACCTGGACAAACTGGACTCGAATGGACTTTGAGAAAATTCGGGAAAGAGTTTTTATCGTCTTTTTTTTTCAAATTTTAGTGAGCATCGAGCTTTTTGAAGAGTTCAATAAGTGTGTGATAACTGAAATATCGTTAGAGATACTTATTTCGCTTTTGATCAGTTGTGAAAAGGTTGCAGGTTAAAAACAAACATAGCGTTGGCTAGAGATAATATTAATGTTAGCTTTTGAGTTTTAAAGAGGATACTTCAGGCTTTCAAATGGTACCAAATGAAGGTTGATTAGACTAACTAGATCCTAGAACCAGGTAAACTAAAAAAATAAGAACGGGGACACACCTGGGCAAACTGGACTCGAATGAACTTTGAGAAAATTCGGGCAAGAGTTTTTATCGTCTTTTTTTTTTCAAATTTTAGTGAGCATCGAGCTTTTTGAAGAGTTCAGTAAGTGTGTGATAACTGAAATATCGTTAGAAAAAGTAAACTAAACTACTTCTTTTCGCTTTTGATCAGTTGTGAAAAAGTTGCAGGTTAACAACAAGTGATTTGTTACAGTGATTTTCATAAGCGTGAATTTGACGCGAAAAAAAACGCGACGCTTTTGCTAGCACCTTAGGTTCTCGGGGTCGGCGAATCGATTGGAGCGATTCATTTCATTGAGTCTATTATTTGTAAATCGTCATTAATTGGCCTAAACTTTTAGATTAGATGAATTCGGGAACTTATGCAAAGCAGTGAATCGTGTGCCCGTCAGACATAAAAATTCAATTCGAAAACTGTTTTTTCTCAATAACTTTCCAATCGTGAATCATTTCAATCATGCGACTAATCCCAAATTTCGACAATATAAGCTAGCTTTTTATTTTCACTCCTTTTGCTGAATGATGCTGAATACTTTTGCTGATGTGACCAATTTTTCGATCTATTTCGAGCCAATCCAAAAAACAAACGAAAAATGAAGACGTAAAGTTCAAATTTTCGTAACTGAGACGAAAAAATATTGACTCAATTCGTAATCACTAACATTTTTTCGAAAAATTTCGCCAAAAAAACAAAAATCGAAATGTCGATCGGGAATTTGGAGGAATTTTTGCAAAATTTGCAGAAAACATTTTCTATTATTTTTGCGTTTGTGCGAACAGATTCAAAGATGAAAATATTTGAGAAGCGATTGCGTCAAAAAAATTGCATGCTTTTCGATGCAAATGACCGGAAATTTTCTTTATTTTGCAAAAATTTGAGACAGACGTAGGTGGGCTTGGGCAAACAGAAAGCCATTTGTAGAAGGAAATGCAAAAAAAAAGTGAACTGTGAATTGTACGTGAATTTTGTTCAACATTGTGCTCGAAAATTTTCGTAAGAAGTTCTTGGAATTGAATTTGTGAAAGATAAAGATATTGAAGTCTTTAGAAAGTTAAGAAAAAGGTACTGGGTCAAAATGTTTAATTTAAGAACTTCAGAGCTGAAGAAGTTGAAACTTAAGAGCTTAAGAGCTTAAGAAGTTGAAAATTAAGAGCTGAAGAGCTTAAGAAGTTGAAACTTATGAACTTAAGAGCTTAAGAGGCTGAAACTTAAGAACCTCAGAGCTTAAGAGCTTAAGAAGTCTAACTTCCTTTACAATTAAAGCCGTTAGACTTTTCAGGTGTACTTTGTGCACAGAGAATGACAAACGAAACCTTTCTGGGGCACCGAAAATAACCGAAATAGTCTGCTAATGCTGTGTTTAGATTTTTGGGGCACGAGTTCTCGTAATTTTCTCCTTTACCGTCTACTAAAATTGTTGTGGAAACAAGGGACAACGTAGGTTTTAATATTTTTTCAAAAATATGCGGATTGTTGCGTAGTCTAGCTTTGAACGAGTTTTTCTCGACACTGATTTATGCTACAATGCGCGCTTAAATATCAAAAAATAGCTGAAATTCAAGGCTATTTTTTGATACCAAAGACGCATTTTTTTGAAAGTACGGATGCTTTGAAAAAAATGAAATACTAAAAAACGACTACGCGACTGTACGAGGGCGGTGGGGTACTATTACAGTATTTACGGTAAGTCTTTTGGTTTATTTATGTTTATTTGATCTCTTAAAACCGATTTCTTATATGTTTAGCTTTTATTGGGTTGGGGAGAATGAGTCGGCGCCGAAAATCAAAGAAATTTCTAAAACTTCTCGCAGACTTCGTCAAATGAAAAGCGTTTGATATCAGTAGAAAGGTTAACTAATTCTCTACAAAATGACATTTAAAAGAGAACTCAAACAGCGCCTCAGCTCAACAGAAGACCATTTTTTCACAAAATCGATAAACTGTCATCTAGAGTAAACGGTTGGAGGGATCTTCCTGAAAATTTGGTAACTTATGTAATTGAGTGTGCTCTATCTTTTTTTTACATAAACACCAAAGGAGGTTTATGTGGAAGAAACTGTTCAAGCAATGAGTCGGACTTTTTGTCATTTTGATTAGCTGTGTTTGGGAATCCATAAAATCCCAAAAAAGAATCAAAAAAGAATGTGGAATCTCTCAAAAGCCATTTTGTAAAGAAATAGTGGACCATGTTGATGAAACAAAACGTGTATTTAAAGAAGGTTTTATGGGTGCAAAAAGTTTCTTTAAATTTCGGCGCCGACTCATTCTCCCCAACCCAATAATAACAAAATGTTTAATAACAAATTTAGCTAGTTACAAATTAAACTCCTGCTTTCCCTGCTCGCGTTCATTTAGATCAAAAGTCTCATAGATTGGCTAAAGTCTTTTCGAAATCGAAAGGCCAAGCGAATTCCATAGCCCTTTTTTAGCCTCTTCTCTTTAAATGAGACAGGATCACAACTGTCGAACAGCAAATATAAGCACTCTCCATTCAAAAGCTTCCCCGATTCAGGCGATTTTCCTGAAAAACTTTCAAATATTTTTACACTAAATCCAGTCTAGACTTTTGTACTTCTAATCTGTGATTGAAATGCTAAATTTTTTTTTTGAATTTGTTGTCATTCTATTGACTTTACTTTATTACTATCAAATCCGATCCTTAACAGCTATTGAACTTCATTTTTGCAATGAACAAAGACAACCAAAATAAACAAAACATTCTTTATTGTGCTTCTTTTAAATGAATTTCGAATTACAGCAGAGATCGTCTAAATCCTAAAAATAGGATCTAGTTTAGAGTTGAAATAAGAAAATCCCGTCTAGCTAAAGCTATTAGGCTTATTGTTAGGCTAAGGCTTATATTGCTATTGCTTAACATCTTAAAATCTTGCTTCTACCAGATAAGACTTCAATTATTTGCTTAAACCAGCGGAACAAACAACTTTCGCGTTTTTCGCGCAATCTAAGCTCCGCCCCTGCGCACAGACGGACAGACGGACAGACAGATAGATAGACAGACAGACGGACGGACAGACAGACGGACAGACAGACAGACGGACGGACAGACAGGCGGACATACAGATAGACAGACAGACAGACGGACGGACAGACATGCGGACAGACAGATAGACAGACAGACAGACAGACGGACGGACAGACGGACGGACAGACGGACAGACAGACAGACAGACAGACGGACGGACAGACAGACAGACAGACAGACAGACAGACAGACAGACAGACAGACAGACAGACAGACAGACAGACAGACAGACGTACGGACAGACGTACGGACAGACAGAAAGGCAGACAGACGGACGGACAGACAGACGGACAGACAGACAGACAGACGGAGACAGATGAACAGATGGACAGACAGATAGACGGGCAGACAGACGGACAGACGGACATACAGACGGGCGGACAGACAGACGGACAGACAGACAGACAGGCGGACGGACAGGCGGACGGACAGATGGACAGACAGACGGACAGACAGACAGGCGGGCAGACAGACAGACGGACAGACGGACGGACAGACGGACAGACGGACGGACAGACGGACAGACCTCTCTTCTGCTTTATATATAGTAGATTGCAAAAGCGCATAGAACAGTTAAAACTTGAAAGCGTAAATCAGAATTTCATTCTTTTATTGAATGAGAGGATAAAAACAATAGCAAATTAGTTAGAAAAGTTAAATACTCTAGCAATTCCGTTAAAGATTTGAATGTTTAACTTGTAAATTGAAAAAAAGGTTTTAGCAATTAACTTTTCTTTATAAGAGAGACTAAAATTATTCAAATTTTTTCACATAAATTAAAAATTGAATACCAGATTGTTGAGTGCAAATAGCCAAGCTTATCACTTTAAACTATTTTACAGTTAAATCAATCACAAATATTGGGTTGGTGCATTGAAAACTGCGAGCTATTTCGCGGGACTCGCAGGTAAAAAAAATGACAGCATTGAACCAGCTGAAAGGGAATTTGGTTACTTCAACATTTCCTCTAATTATTGCAAAAAAAATTATGCTTCCAGCTTTTTATTTTTTGGTATTTTTCTTCACTTCTTCTATTGCACTCGACAATCTGCCACCGGGACATATTCGCCATGTCATGCTTCATGAGTTCCTACAAGAGCACAGTGCAGGCTTGGCAGCTGCTAATATTAAAAAGATATATGGGGAGGACTCACTTTCCGAAAGAACTTGTCAAATATGGTTTGCCAAGTTTCGTTCTGGGGACAAATCTTTGAAAGATGCAGAGGGCCGTGGAGCGACACCTCAACTGGGTGATTCCAAATTACTCGAACTCATTACCAACGACCATCGGGTATCATCGCGTGAATTGAGAGAAGAGTTAGGGGTTGATCATGCTACAGTGCTAAGGCACCTTCGTACCCTTGGATTTAAATCGAAACTTAGGGGCTTGGGTGCCCCATGACCTCAATAACTCCCAGAAGTGGCAGCGCACCTCGAGCAGTGCCGTCCATTTCTCACAATACAGAAGGAAAGCTTTTCTTTCTCGAATTGTGATAGGAGATGAGAAATGGGTTTTATCTGTGAACTTTCGGAGGAAGCGGCAATGGGTGGGGCCAGGCGAGAAACCCGAAAGTGACCTGAAGCCCGATTTGCACCAGAAGAAGTTTATGCTCTGCGTTTTCTGGGATATGGAGGGAGTGGTGTACTGGGAGTTGCTGGATAGCAAGACGATCGTTCATGCAATCAAATGCAGTGAACAGTTGGGAAAGGTGAATGAATCCCTGAAGAAGAATAGGCCCTTCAAGTCAAAGATCATTCTCATCCACGACAACGCGCGCCCTCATGTTGCAAAACTGACTAGCTCTAAAATAAACAGCCTTAGTTGGGAACTTTTGGCGCATCCCCCATACAGTCTGGACCTCGCCCCTTTTGATTACTATTTATTCCGGATCATGAGTAATGAGCTTTCGGGAGAACACTTCGATCCAGAAGAAGCAGTCAAAAATTGGCTTCAAAAGTTTTTCGATTCAAAACGAAAATCCTACTACGAAAGAGGAATCTTCAAATCTTCAAATTGCCTGTAAAATGGGCAGAAGTCCTCAGTAAGAATGGAAATTATTTGGAATGAATTTATGGTTTAGAGTTGAATCAATTTTTAGTTCAAAGTCCGGCAGTTTTCACCAACCCAATAAAAGAGGAAATCTGTTAGAGAATTGACTTTTTATCTAAATAATAACTAATAACATGTTACAAAACTGACGAGCTCTAAAATAAGCAGCCTTAGTTGGGAGCTTTTGGCATATTCCCCATACAGTCTGGACCTCGCCCCTTGTGATTACTATTTATTCCAAACCATGAGTAATGAGCTTTCGGGAGAACACTTCGATCCGGAAGAAGCTGTCAAAAATTGGCTTCAAAAGTTTTTCGATTCAAAACGAAAATCCTACTACGAAAGAGGAATCCTCAAATTGCCTGCAAAATGGGCAGAAGTCCTCAGTAAGAATGGAAATTATTTGGAATGAATTTATGGTTTAGAGTTGAATCAATTTTTAGTTCAAAGTCCCGCAGTTTTCAATTCACCAACCGGATACATAGATTCTAATCGTAAAGATTCTACAATATTCCAGAAAATCCCCAAACCCAAACATCCGCATCTTTTTCTTCATTTTTTTTCCTGGATACTGTAAAATCATCTCACTCCCATCCTCAATTTTCCATTGTTCTTTTGTGCATTCAATTCGCAAATATGTCTAGTGCAGAAATTCCAGCAAGCGCGAAGCACAGGGAAAAATGAAAATTTCGTTGGATTTTAAAGGTCAATCGAAAAATTGGGAAGAACAATCATCGTATTCAATGGAAACAACAATTCATTATCAACAATTCATCGAGATTCTTGAGAATTATCAAAGACAATCATTTGAACCGATGATGGACAATTCGATGGACTCGATCACTGATTTGAGTTGCTATTCTTATGAGAGGTTAGTTTTGGAATTTTTCTAATAAAGGAATCTCGTAATTCAACAACCTAATTTTTGTAAAACTTTCAATTCTTAACATAAATTTGTAAAAATTGACTTTTAGTCTAGTCAAACTTTAAGCAATAATGGGAAGCTTGCAGTGTTTTCTTATTTGTGATCTACAGTTTATCTGTTACGTCCAAATCCGAACAATCGTCATTTTATGGAGATGCAGTCCAAATCCGAACACATTCATTCAGTTCGAGTTCGGGTTTCGAGTTCGGACGTCCGAACCCGAACATGATCTCCATTATGTGTTGAAGGATGAAAAAATAGTAGCACAGTCTCTAATAGAAGCAATATTGGGCGGGGAATCGGAAAATAAAATTACCTTATAAAGATATTATAGGAGAATAGAAGGTCAGAGCTGGGAGAATCAGGCTTTAGCCTGGGAGAAGGTCTCGAAGGTGCGGAGCCATAGCCTAGAAATATTATAAGCGTCTATCATTCTATTATTCATAGAAAAATAGGAAATTCGGACGTCCGAATCCGAACATAATGGAGATCGTGTTCGGATTCGGAGGTAACACATCTAAAGACTGGTGAGTGTTTGCTGATTATTCGCATTTATTCGAGACTAAATTTTAGAGGCTGTCTGTCTGTCAGTGCTGTACTATTATAATATTCTATGTACCTTGTTAATTATAGTTTCTAGATATTTATTGTTTGCTTTAAACAAAAGACAACGATTTTGGTGATAAATGATAGAATTTCAGCACTTCTGAAGTCTCGACCTCATCAAGTGAATCTGTAACGAATGCTGAAAATGAAAATAAAAGAAAATCAAAAGTATGTTTGAATATAAAAAAAACTGAAAAATTAAACTACCGTAAATACTGTAATAGGGACCCCACCCTCATAATGACGGTGCGGAGCGGTGCGTAGTTGCGTAGTCTAGCTTTGAACGAGTTTTTCTCGACACTGGTTTATGCTACGATGCGCGCTCTGCTACAATACAATAGAGTCTGTAAGCGAAGCCAGCTCTAAAGCAGGTCAGAGGTCTAGGTCAGAGAGCCAACGCCGATCCAGTGCTTTTGTGGTATGGGCCAAATTGAGCCAGGAGAAGGCTAGCTTTTGAGCAGGTATATCCAGCTAGATCTCAGTGCTTATAGGCTAAATCAGAGTTAGGGGAGAGCCAAGTTAACCTACCGTAAATACTGTAATAGTACCCCACCCCGATAATGACGGTGCGGAGTGTTGCGTAGTTACGTAGTCTAGCTTTGAACGAGTTTTTCTCGACATTGGTTTAAGCTACAATGCGCATTTAGGTATCAAAAAATAGCTGAATTTCATCTATTTTTTGATACCAAAGACGCATTGATTTTTAATTTAAGATTCAGAAATCGACTACCAGTACTGGCGCCGCTACTACTGCAACCATCGGCAAAAGCTCTACTACTTCAATGACAACAATGGTAAAAATATCTACCGTAAATACTGTAATAGTACCCCACCCCCCTCGTACAGCCGCGTAGTCGCAAAAGTTCTTTAGTATTTCATTTTTTGCAAAGCACCCGTACTTTCAAGAAATGCGTCTTTGGTATCAAAAAATAGCCCTGAATTTCAGCTATTTTTTGATACCTAAGCGCGCATTGTAGCATAAACCAGTGTCGAGAAAAACTCGTTCAAATCTAGACTACGCACCGCTTCGCACCGTCATTATGGGGGTGGGGTACTATTGCAGCATTTACGGTAATTTCATTTTCATCATAATCAAAAATACAGGAATGCCACTCGTGCGCGGTTTGCGGTGACTCAGCCGCCTATGCGCACTACGGAGTTCTCACGTGTGAGGGGTGCAAGGGATTTTTCAAAGTGAGTGAAGAATATTTAAAGTTTATGAAATCTAATCTAAGATTTCCATAAGCTAGCGTTATATTTCAACGGTTTTCGTAACAGAAACTTTTCAGCGAACCGTTCAAAAAGGTCGAAGCGATTTCGTTTGTCTGAAAACGGGCACATGCGAGATCACTCCAAAGTAATTCTTGTTATGTCAATTAGAAATGTTTTCTTATTTTTACTAGATCAAAATTTTGATCCAATACGTTTCCAATACGGCTCCTATTTTGATCTAATACAGTTCCAATACGGTTCCAATACGGTTCCTATTTTGATCTAATACGGTTCCAATACGGTTCCAATCGAAAGCGGGCACATACGAGATCACTCCAAAGTAATTCTTGTTATGTCAATTAGAAATGTTTTCTTATTTTTACTAGATCAAAATGGATTTATGGCTCTAGAAGTCTCATTTATTTGTACAAAAATCAATTCTAAATTTCAGTAATCGCTCGTGGTGCCGACTTTGTCGATGGAAGCGGTGTTTGATCGTTGGGATGGTTCCGAATGGTTTGTGAATTCATAGAGTTATGGAAAATGTTAAAAGTTTCCTATTAAACTTAAGCAAACATTCAAATTCTCAGTTGTAAGCAACTTTATAGCAAGAAAACGAGATCGATTTAAACTAATCTTTATCTAGAAATGCTATTTTAGCCGTTCGAAGCGGTCACCTAGCCGGTCGACGCGGAAAATTGCCGAAAAGAAAGCATATTGCTGATTTGTATTTTCTCAATGATAAACATTAATCAGAATTTTAAAAATAACCAAACGAAAATATGGAATACCGTCAAAATTTCTAATAGAAGATCATCTCTTCTTCTAATTTTATAACAAGTCATCAATAATAATTGAGAATATCTCATTGATTGATGTGCGTTTGTTTATGTTTTTAGCAATAAACAGTTTTGTGACAAAAACCAACATTCCTTTTTCCTCAACCTAATATAAGCCGTTAAAGTTGATCGTTAAGCTTCGTTCGTCTTTGAAAGTATAGCACCTTATAGTCCGGACTTGAACCCATCAGATTATTTTTTGCTTCGGTCGTTAAAGAGTTTTCTTATGAGAGAAAAGTTCGAGAAGCATGCACAGATCAAAAAAAGCAGTCGACACTTATTTTGGCTCGAAAACTTCCCATTTGTTTTTGAGGATGGGATCAGGGATTTGCGACAAAGATGGGAACAAGTCATCAATAATAATTGATGAATATCTCATTGATTGATGTGCGTTTGTTTATGTTTTTTTAGCAATAAACAGTTTTGTGACAAAAACCAACATTCCTTTTTCCTCAACCTAATAATTCAATTGACTTTACTTTATTAAGTTATTATTAAGTAATGGCAAGAGGTAAAACGCTCTTGGACTTCGAGAAAGCACAGATCAAAGCATTTAAACACTAATAACAACTTCCAAGAATTTCTCAAAAACCATTTTCGCAGAGAAACAAGCAAGCTTTTTAATAGTTGAAATAGAAATTTTTGTTGGTGGCGGCATTTTTAAAGAAATGAAGAAAAATTGTAAAGACCTATGCTTTTGTCCATGCATCAATTCTATTATACCCGCAAAACTAACGTTATTAAAGTGATAGCTCAACGACTTCAAGCGCAACACTGAAATCACTTGTTTTGAAGCTTTTGAAATAAAGAAAAGTACACAAACTTCTTTATATTGTTATCTCAAATATTTCGTGTTTCCATTTCTCAATCAATTCCACAGATTCATCGATCATCACCAAGAATTTCTCGTGATACACTTTTCGCAACGGCGCAATCGTTTTCTCATCTAAATTTAAAATCTCCAGTTTGTAGCTTCTCTAAAATGGATCGTTTTTAGAAAACTACCGTAGTCAGCTGCTTAATTACCGTAGTCAGCTGATTTTTTCGTTCAAATAGCCCAATTTTCGACGCTATGTATCGTTCGACGAGGTTTTTTTTGTATCAATCACAAGCCTCTGTCAATGCTATAAAAACTGAGCTAATTGAGTGAAAAAAATGACAGCTGACTACGGGGAATTTTTTTTAATATAAATGTATTGGGTTGATGGAAAAGTCCTTTCCGATTTTTTGGGAGAGTACCTTAAATTTGTCGAATTTTGACGTTTTATAGCTCATCCTAAAGCTGAATTCAAGACGGATCGATTGGTAAAAACCGTTTTGAGATATCTCTTTTCTAAAAGTTTTTACAGCTATTTTAGTAAAGGGCGGCAGAGCCAAAAAATGGCTGTTTTCACGTTTCGTTAGTTTTCCGTGCAGAAACCTAGGCTAAAAACATGTGTTTCGTGATCAGCGTCGAAAATAACCCCTAGACACGCATTTTCAGAATCTTAGCAAAAAACTTTTGAAAAATATTGTCACCGGTGGAAGTCGAACCAGCAACCCTCAGATCAATAGCCTTTCCCCCGCTTTTCGCGATTTTCCTTCGTTTTTCTCGTTTTTTTTTGTTGAAGAATGCCCTGATGGTCCCACCAAACACACAGCATTGTCTTTTTTGGGTGAAGTTCTGCTTTTACCCTTGGAGTTGCTTGTTGATCGGAATCAGCCCAGGCCTCAATGATCTGGGGGTCGCTGGTTCGACTTCCACCGGTGACAATATTTTTCAAAAGTTTTTTGCTAAGATTCTGAAAATGCGTGTCTAGGGGTTATTTTCGACGCTGATCACGAAACACATGTTTTTAGCCTAGGTTTCTGCACGGAAAACTAACGAAACGTGAAAACAGCCATTTTTTCGCTCTGCCGCCCTTTACTAAAATAGCTGTAACAAATATTTTAAAAAAGAGATATCTCAAAACGGTTTTTACCAATCGATCCGTCTTGAATTCAGCTTTAGGATGAGCTATAAAACGTCAAAATTCGACAAATTTAAGGTACTCTCCCAAAAAATCGGAAAGGACTTTTCCATCGACCCAATATTTTAAAAGAAAGATGACTTATCTTTTTGTTATTTTCAATAAATTTTTACCTTTAATCCCCTCAAAGATCAAATCTCCCGTATTCGCGACAATTGGACAGTACAACGCCGTTTGCCAAACGTACATCAATTCGTAGCATTTTTGAAACTTAAAATTAATGGCTTAAAAGAATTTTAGCGATTTTTTTAGAATAAGAAGCTTTAAGAATAAGAAGATAAAGTCTGATTGTAGTCTTTTTTCTCATCAAATTCCTCCATTCACCTCCTCAAAATCTTTCCAGGGAACCAAGCGATCACCGGCGAATTTCAGCAAATTCTCGTAGTAGTAAGCAAGGAATTTTGTGATGCTGAATCATTTTTTAAAATGATTTTAAATGAAATGAATATTTGAAACTGTTTTCCAAATCCAATCCCAACCTATTCTTGTACTTTTCTGGATCAATTGACAGACTCAACCATTTCACTAAGTCTTCCAACGGATTGCCGAGGTGAACTTGCTGAATGTTCCTTGATTTAATGGACTTTTATAATGAACTTTTGTTATAATAAAGATTGATAGTAAACTGAAGTCTTAAACTCTGATTTTAGCACTTTATCTTTAAAATTAATGATACTACTCGTCTACACTCGTCTCGTCTACAGTCTACGTCTACAGTCTACGTCTACAGTCTACGTCTACAGTCTACGTCTACGTCTCGTCTACAGTCTACGTCTACAGTCTACGTCTACGTCTACAGTCTACGTCTACGTCTCGTCTACAGTCTACGTCTACGTCTCGTCTACAGTCTACGTCTACAGTCTACGTCTACGTCTACAGTCTACGTCTACAGTCTACGTCTACAGTCTACGTCTACGTCTCGTCTACAGTCTACGTCTACGTCTTTCAAGACCAACCACAAGTCGATCTGATAATTAGAAGTCGAATTATTGAATAAAATAGAAAAGTGCGCTAAAGTGCCATTGAGATCTTTACTTGCCAATCCAAAATAGCTTTAAGCTTTTTGTTTTCTGGATCTTTCGAATCGTGATTCCACATCACATTCGGTGGCCAGAGATCACCTTGACACAATAGATCAATTCGACCTAGAACAATCGAACAATCCTTTTTGATATATCAAAAGATTATCAAATCCTTATCTATCAAATTCTAAGCTTGCTTACAATTTCTCTTCCGAAGTTCCCGATAGACTTTCGGATTGACGAAGATTTCGGCTACCGGCAAAAGAATTTCCAATTTTTCTTTGTACTTCGGGAAATTCTCCATGCAACGATGGATTCCTTTCGTAGTTTTCTAAAGTTAAATCTACGGTTTAAGCAGTTAAAGTTAAAGTTTGCATTTAAATTTACAGAACAAGTCATTTTTTTCTTGAACGTTTCTTCGGACAGCGAGAAATTTTTTACTTTTTATTTGAGATTCTCACTGAAAAACTTTTCCTAAACATCCAATTGACTTTTCAAATAAAAAATGAACCTAAGAATCTTTTCTGCAAGGAAAAAAGTAGAATACGAAAAGGTTTCGTTGGGTTTAAGCTTTTGAAAAGTGAAAACCTTTAGTTACCTCAGTTCATTTTTCTTTAAGACCAATGTAAGCTTATTTTATTATTAAAATATTGGAAAATAACTTTAGATTAAATATCTGAAGAGAGATTGAAAAAAATCTTAAATTAGAAGAAAGTTATTTGATGAAATAGGAGAAAGAATGGCAAAAATAACAATTGGAAACCATCGGTGGCCTTCATTGTATTAAACCTGTGGCCTTCAATGTATTAAACCTTCCAATATTTACATCTTTTGTATTGAAATCTTCGAGGAATTGATCGAAAAATTTGCTGTCGATGAAGCTTTGGAGTTGCTCGGTGTGATAGAGAGCTGAAAAGAAAAGTTATTGATGCTAACTTTATACCTATTATAGTTCTAAAGTGGAGCTTTCAAATCATAGCTTTCCAGGATTTCAAATGAAATATTAGGTTGGCAAGAAAGTTTGTAGAAAAAGGGGCCCTCATGGTGTATTGGTTAAGTTCTCACTTCCAAACTGAGGGTGTGGGGTTCGGCCCCCCTAGGGTTCTCTTCCCTAGCCCGTGCGCCCAGACTAGAGGTCTCTTCTCTAGAGCTGACTAGAGATCCCTTCTCTAGCGGAGTTCACTCTTCCACTGGGTTGGCCCATTCATGGCTTGAGGTTATTAAAGCAAGAAGCCTATCTTCTATCTATCTTCTTTTCTCCCCGCCTCCACATCGCCGAGTAAAATATCTCATCTTTCTCTATGTATTTATGTGTAGATTTGTGTATTGTCTGACTGATTACGCTTTATTTCATGTCCTGAATAAAGTATGAATATATATATAAAAAGTTTGCGCGGTGATTTCTCAAGAACCAAGCCATCAATTCTTCCCCGATTTTTTTGATAAACTTAACTATATTTCAAAAAGTTTTTGACAAAAAAACAGATTGGGCTTCAGGCAAAAAATAAGAGATCTCTTCAGCTGAAGTGACTTGATCACTTTTTGAGTGACTCGTCTTTATACAAGTTTTTAATGGGTTAATGAATAGGAAATGGGTTTCATTTAAAACCTAAAATCAAGTACTTAAAATAGGGAAAATTTTTTGATTAAGGCAAATTTAATCGAATGCTTTAACTTTTCAGAATCACCTATTTTAGTAAACACTGTGCCAAGAAGATGAAACCAAAAAACTATTTTTTGAAATAAAGCTTCTTTGTAAAAAATTTGTTGGCCATTTGTTGGCCAACAAATAGAGATTATAGAGCGTATTGCTGATTTATGCTAGCTTTACCTCATAAGGAATCGTTTTTATGGTGCAAAAAAGTGAGCTGAATTTACGCTGGAAAATAAGTAAGCTGAATTTAAGCTGGAAAATAGTCATTTTTCAAAAATCTCAAAAATTCTGAGGGAAAACTGCACTCATTTTTTACGAGTAATTTATTGGAGTCGACTTGTCAATAATAGAACAAAATGTTCTTGAATTGGTGGATTCGTTTTGAAGAAATTTCAGCCAAACTTTTTCCGAGAACTTTCTTTCCAACCTAATAAAATAGAGTTC